TCTTTAACCCAAAGGATTCTCAGTTCCTTAAGGCCCATGCCTTTGGCCTCACTCTCCCTTCCAGGCTATTCAGCAGATTCTGTGTCTATGGAAGTTATCAGATCAAATACTTAGCAGCTCTTGAGGGGCTTAAGGTAGGATAGGCAAAGTGGGAAAAAAGAGAATTTAATTATTGGTATCATTCCTCACATCCACATGTCCAAAACTGACCTCATTATCTTTGCCCCTCCCACTCCAGGCCTCCTCTCTTTTTAATTTTCCTATTATTGTAGAGGGCACCATTCTCCCAGTGAACCAGGCTTGCAATCTAGTTGTCACCCTGGACCCCTCACTCTCTTTCAGCCCCATATTCAATGTTTCCAAATCCTATTGATTCTACCTTCTCTCCTCTGACAATGCCCCCAGTCTGTGCAGGCCCTTATCACCTTACCTCCTCACTATTGCTGTGGTGGTCTCCCTACCTCAGTTCTCTCCCAACTCCAGTTCATTCTCCACTCAGCTGTCAGAATGATCTTCCTAAAGCTCAGGTCTGACTATGTCACACCCCACCCCTCCATTCCCATTATCAGGGGGCTTAGGGCCCTGACATGCCCCTTCTCCATGGGTGGAACAGAGCCCAGAGAATTATATCCTCTTTCCAAAGAAGCAAAGTCCCTGAAGGACCCTTTCTCTAGGGGCACCACAACTTATCCCTAGCTGCTTGGAGCTATGTTGCCCTTCTGTCCAAGGCTACATCCAGCTATTCTCCAATAGGCAGTGCCTGCCTGATTCTTACTTAGGGAATAAACTTCCATCCAGGACACAAGGTCTTCTTCCCTTCCTCTCCCCAGGATACCCCAGGAAGAGGAATGGCATTTCATTTTGCTGTTTGTTCCTATTCTTCCTTTTGCCCAGGTAGCTGCCACAGTCCTCTAAAGAACAGAGACTTTGGGGCAGCTAGGTGGTACAGTGAACAGATCTCTGGCCTTGGAGTCAGGAGGACCTGAGTTCAAATCTGGCCTCAGGCACTTGACACTTAGTTGTGTGACCATGGGCAAGTCACTTAACCCCAATGGCCTCACCAAAAAGCAAAAACAGAGAGAGAGAGAGAGAGAGAGAGAGAGAGAGAGAGAGCGAGCAGAGACTTTGTGGTTCGAAGGTCCTGGCTGCCCCTGGACAGTGATAACAGCATCTTCAACTACAGTGTTAAGCATCAAGTGAGAAAGGACTGGAGATGTAAGGAGAGGAAGCAGTGGACTTTGGGGAACAATTCTTAGTGGTTGAGGAAAATTTCTCCCAGTCACAGCAAAGGGATGGGAGAGGGTAGCTCAGGTGTATTCATTTCTTGTTGCCCTCCCCACCACAGAAGCTTCTACAACAAAGGACTTTGTCCCTGCTGGTTGCTTATCTCACCAAGGCCAATGGGAGCAAAGGCTCCACATGGCCCTATTTGTGCCAGAAAGACTGGGAGTGATGAGGAATGGAAGGGCAGAATGAGGCCATTGAAGGTCAGGACAGAGACAGAGAGAGCATTGGTATACAGGCCAGAGGAGATGATGGAGCAACCATGAGTATTGTGGCAATGGAGTGACTATATACAAGGATGATGGGGGATGTCAAACAGGGAGCAGGAGTACTGCAATGATGAGCCTGACTTGTGATGAGGCACAAGGACATGACAGGATTCTAACTAAATGAAAGGGAGTAATAGGCTGTTTGGATGTAGCTAAATGAAGGAGTTAAATGACTAATGTGGGTATATAACAAGATAAAAGGGTGTGATGGGGTCATAGGATGTAATAGGTATATCCAGATGACAGGATATAATGAGGTGACAATATGATGGCTGTCTGTGATACAAGCTTGATACTTAAGTAGGTGGTAGAGCATCCTAGTTTTCAGCCCCTAAGGTGAATAGGGTTATAGCAATAGCCAGAGTCACATGGGACCCACAGCATACACCTATGGGCAGGAGACCTGGGAAAGCAGGAAAACCCCCTCTCCCATCACTGGGAATTACTTGACCCCTTTCCCTGTGGCTAATGTCTTCTTCTATTCAGAAAAACATATGTGACTGGTTATAAAAGCCATTAACTCAATTGGCCCCCAGACACCACATCTTCCCTTGGGAGAGGCAGGAATGAGGGAGCCAGAAAAGACTGGGCTTGGGGTTTGGCTTTTGTTGGCTTCCAGCCCCCGCTTCCTGAGGGCCCTTTACTCTGACTGTAGGCAGCTTCTAACTGTGGTGGCTCCCTGGTCAACACTGAGGAAAGTAGTCTGTCAGAGTAGCTTTGCCATGGCAGTGACTCTGAAAAGGAGCGCCTCCCCCACCACAAGCTTCCTTCTGACAGCCCTGCTTACCCTTCCCACCTCTGGCAGACCTGAGTTTCTTGTCTCTGGCTAATCTTAGAGATCTGCCCCCAACTAAAGCACCTTTTTTCATTTGGAGCAGCTCAATCTCACAGACCTGAGCCCTAGGTATCCCTTCTAACTCCCGAACTGTAACTACTTCAGGATTTCGGAGTATTCACTCTAGTGATACCCAACTTTCCCCCACCCCTAACACACAGCATAGGAAATTATGCCCACTCCTGCCCACTAACCCATCCTTAGCAAAACACCCTGAAGGGCACAAGGGAGGGTCTGCTCAGCTGATAAGGGAATGAGAATACTTGAATGATGAGATATCCTTAGTTCCCAGTCTCCTATCTCAGAGTCTTGCTTAAGGGAAGTTGAAAGAGGGCCTTATTAACTCTTTTGTCTTGTTTTTTCCTTATCTCTTAGGGCAAAACCCTAGAATATAGGGTTTGGTTCAGAGTCAGGGTAGGTAGTTCTCAGTCTCAAACTCACAAATATGCCTACCCCACCATGTTGCCATCCTCAGCCTGGGCAGCACTGTCTGCTCTTGTCCCTTTCCCTACCTTGTTTTCTGGCTCTTTCCTAACACTCTGCTCCTGACCTTGGGAGAGTGGGAAAGTTTGGGTTAGCTTGGAGGAGGACAAGGCATTTAATAGCTTCATTCCTTTCTGTGCTGCATGTTGACTAGTGTGTGATTCCCGCATATCAATGAACCTTTTTGGTGTTAGCTTCTGGGTTTGTGTGCATAGCAAAGGTGGGAGCAGACGTGGGGGGGGGTGAAGCTGGGAGGGAGAAGTCTTTAGTCTTGGTCTTTGTGGCTTCACATGGAGCTTGCAGGGTCAAGCTTGGGTTCAAACATCCCTCCTCTTCCCATCTGCAAGAGCACTGCTTTCCAAGTGGAGAAGGAAATAAAGGGGGGTGGGAGAGAAAGAAAGAGAGAGACAGTCAGAGAGATAGAAGAGACAGACACAGAAACAGATGGGGTTGAGGTCTCTGATAAGTCTTCTGTGGTTTGCCATCATTGCAGAGGTTCCCTCTTCGTGGCTCCACCCTGATCCCCTAGGCCTCCTCTTCAAGCCCCTGCCTTGGCCCCAGCACTCTGAAGAAATAAGCCCTGTCCTGACCCTGCAGCACCCTCCACTCTGTGCCTGTCTTCCCAGCTATAAAAAAGTAGATTACTCCTTTTTCTACCTCCATCTGGGAATGGAGGAAGGAAGGGGAGGGTTTCTGGCAATAACCATAGGTTCCCATCTATTTTTTTTTTTGGTGAGGCAATTGGGGTGACACAGCTGGTGAGTTTTCTGTGTCTGAGGATGGATTTGAACTCAGGTCCTCCTGACTCCAGGGCTGGTGCTCTTTCTACTGTGCCACCCACCTGCCCCAGTTCCCATCTATTAAGACACTTTGATCTTGTGGCCCTGTGTTCTGGCATGTACATGTTGAGGTAGAAGCCTCTACTAGGGTGAACATGAAGACCTGTCCCCAACAACTTTAGTTTTCTAATTCTAGGACCCCAAAGGAGGGGAGTTAGCATGGTTTCTATGGTCAGTTAAAAGGAGGCTCCCAAATTCCCTACTTCTTCCCCACAGTCAGGGCCTCCCCATTATATAGTTCATAGTTCCTCTGTCTGGGTGACTTACAAACTTCCATTTCCCATTACAAGCCAGAAGAGTCACCATTAGCCCTCCCTAGTCCCATCCATACCTAGTGAGGCAGGAAAGAAAAGGGGCTGAGAACATGAGGATTCCATCCAGTGACCCCCAGAGAAGAAGAGCCCTTTCTCGTCCTACTACAGTGGGAACAGAGCTAGTTCTGCAGTCAAAGGGCCTGGATTCAAATCCTGACTCAGATTCTTACTGTCACTTAATTTTTCTGGACCTCAGTTTTGGCATCTGTAAAATAACGGGATTAGACTAGAGGGCTTCAGAAATCTCTTCCAGCTGTAGACCTCTAATCCTAAAATCAGGTTTCCACTCTGGGATGAGAGTATAAGAGGCATAGAGGGCAAAGGGAACATCTTTCAGAAAAGATGGGCCCAAAGGCTGTTTGCAGCTACAGAGGACATCAGAGTTTGCTCAGCAATCCACAGTCCACCCTTAGTGAAGCGCCAATGGCTGGGGCGGGGGTGAGAGTGGGTGGGAGTGATGCCAGGGTAGTTTCCATGAAGAGGTGATGAAGGGGAGATGAAATGGAAGCAATGAACTGGAACATCTGATCCCTGCCTCCTCCCAGGTAATGCAGTGATTCAAGGACCCCTGGCTCTGAGGGAAGGATCAGGGAAGGGTGGAACAACTCTTCTGGGCCTGCACATAGGCTAACCATTTCCCATTATCTGGATCCCCCGTAGATTGAGGCGTCCCAAAGAGACCTGGGTCAGGGGAAAGAAGTCCCCTTCAACTACACCTTCTTGGTGGTGGTGGGGGAAGTATTGTGAGTCTCCGACTATCTCGCTAGGATGTCATAGTGGGACCCAGGCGACACGGCGGGGTGAGGTTGGGGGGAGTTAAACTCCGGGGGTTGGGTAATGCTTCTGTAACCTCTTCTCCCTTTGAGTATTTGCACAAGGGGCGCCTGCGGAAGGCGGAGTGGAGAGCCCAGCCGGGGCGGGGACAACACAGGTGGTGGGAGGGCTGGGGCGGGCCCAAGCACTGGGGACTCGAGCTTGGTGCTTCGAGACGCAGGCTGCAACCGCGTCGTGTGAATGGAGCTGAGCGGATTGCCGCGGACTGAGGTGAGGACCTGCTGCCTCTGCTCCATTGCCCCCGATCTCTCTCTCTCTCCCTTTCAAGAGTTCATGACTACCCTAACCCTCTTTCATGGGCTCCTCCTTCCAAGATCTCAAAGCGTGATCTCAGAAGCGAGGCGCCCCTCTCCACCTCCTGCAACTTCTTCTCTCCCGCCCCCCGACAGTTGACCCGCCCCTCCTTTCTCAAGACCGGACTCTGCCCTCTCCTCGCCCTTTCCCATGCCTCTGTTTTCCCTGCCCCCCCCCCCCCCCCCCCCCCCCCCCCCCCCCCCGCCGGCAATCTTGCCCCGATTCTGACCACTTGGTTTCCAGTCTTGTGCCAGGCAAGGGACTGAGTCACAAGGGAGAAGGGGAGCTTGAGTCAGTGTCCAGCAATCTCGACTGGGGGTGCTCACCCATGGCATAGGGACTAAAAGTGGGATATGGTGGCGTTGAGACAAAGGGAAGAATAGAGATGAAACGAAAACAGAGATAAAACCTGAGGAATGCACAGAGGGGACAGGCATGAAGGAAAGTGTTCATTTCATTTCGAGTGTGGTCTTATGGTGCGCCAAATGGGATGAGGAGAGATATCCTACGGATTCCTACACACCACCACTTTCTTTCTCTCCCTGGCCCAGCCCTGACACGTCCGAGTTCTCTGCCCAGCCTGGCTGGGGCAGGATGTGGGGGCGGCTCTTTGGTGAAGGGACAGGAAGGAAGTCTGAGTGGAGACAATAGGTGGAAGGGGAGGAGGAACTGGAAACTGGACAGCAGTGTTTTGGGTTAGAGCTGCAGAGACCTGTGGGAATGGTCTCTTCCATTCCTGTCTCCTCCTGATTGAGAATAGGCTGATCACTCCCCGTTCTACCCCACCCTGATTATGTTGACCCTTCCCCTTCCTCTCCCCTGGTTCCAGGCTGCTGCTTTTGGACCAGCTACCTCATCTCGTGGCCCTCAATGACCCCAGCCCCCTCCTGTGACCTTGGTCCCTTTCCTCACTGAACAGTGGCTTTCTAGGGTTCTAGGTATCTGCTTTCTCAGTGATTCTGTGTGGTGTAATGGAAAGAACACTGAACCGTGAGTCAAAGAAACCTGGGTTCTGGCTTTGGCTCTGCCACCTATTGGATATGTGATCTTGGGCAAGTCACTTAATCTCTTTGGGCCTTCCTTTCCTCATTCGTAAAACAAGGGGTTTGGGCCAGATCCCTTCAAAGTCCCTTCAAGCTTTGACAATCTGTGAGCTCTGTGTCTCCACATTCTGTGTGTCTATATCCCTATAGCTTTGCCTGATTGTGGTTGGGGGAGGCTTGTGGGATTTGGATTAGATCTCTTCTACCCCAAAGCTGAGAAGGGTATATGAAGCTTAGCTTCAGCCCTGTCCGCCATCCCCACCTTCACCCATTCTTTTCTAGGCAATGGCCTGAACCCTCATGGAGTCACTCAGGGATCTGGACATTGAGGTCTGGCTGGCAGGAGTACATCTGGAACGGTACGCAGATACATTCCGGAGGCACGGTGTGTCCACTGCAGCTGCTGCCCAAAGCCTGGGCCACGAGGAACTTCGTCGAATGGGCATCTGGGCCACAGGTCATCGCAAACGGATTCTTCGCCTGCTTCAGGGGGCTACTGTGGAGGTCCCTACAGACACCCCACTGGACACTACCATGGATCAACCCCCAAACCCAGATCCTCAAGTGCTCTCCACCAAACCAGTGCCCAAACCAAGGACAGTGTTTACTTTTTTTGGCACCACTCCTGCTGAATCAGTCCCACCTCCCTTGCTGAACCCTCCTATAGAGACCCCTCCAGTGACTCAGGAAGAAGATACCAGCCTAATAGTCCAAGATGAAGGGAGCATGGTCCCCAGGGGTTCAGAGCAGCCAGTGAACCAAGAGCCTTCCCTAAGCACCCCCCAGCCTCCCTTTTCCCCCTCCCTCCCTTCGGATCAGCCTCCCATCTTGGACAGGATGACCATGATGCCCAATGATATCTACTTTGGCCTAGACCTTGGAAGGGGAGCACAACCAGGGACTCAGGAAACGTGAGTGGGTTAGCAATCAGCTGAGGAAGGGACCAGAAGATCTGGGATTCAGTGAGGGAGGGAAAAATAAGGGGGAAGGGGAGAAGGCAAAGCATTCTCTATCTTTCTTCTCTCCCTCCTTCCTCCTTGTGTTACAAGTTCCCTTCCATCCTCAGGACTGCAGACTGCTCCCTGGTAGATCCTCCTACTCCCATCCCCACTTCCAGACCTACAGGAGGCACAGGTCAGTAGAGGACCATGAGGAGGTTGAGGGGAGGGGATGGTAGGGTTTTTAGAGGTGGGGGTTCACTATAGGCATCTTACCATTTGACTTGTCTCCCCATCTCTATTCCACCAAACTCCAGTGCATATCATGGACCCTAGCAGCCTGTACTATGGTGTTCAGCCTGTTTCAGTCCCTGGGACTCCCAAAGGAATGAAGACAAGGGGTGTCAGTCAGTCAGCAGGTGAACCCAGGTAAGTGATTTGAGGAGGATTAAGAAAGGTAAGATATAGAGGAGACATGGAGAGGAATATTGGGGAGAGATTTAGAAGGATTGTAAACGAGATTTAGAATAGGTAATGATGGGGAGGAATATAGAAGTCACGAGGAGAAGAGATGGAGTGAGTTAACTGGTTCACATCTCTCCTCTACTTTTTCCTAGGCCAAGCAGCCATGAACCAGAGCGGGGAGAGGATTGTGGCTATGCCAGTCTGGAGCTTCCTGGGGACTCCATCCACTTGATGCCCATCCTGGACCCTGAAGAGCCGGGCGACGATCTTATCTCTCCCTATGCCAGCTTCACCTCACTAGCTGATCCCCCCACACCCTTGCTCAGTGGATGGTTGGACAAGCTCTCGCCTCAGGGGTGTGATTGGAAGGGGGTGATGTGGGGGACTTCAGAAAGAAAAAAAAACCAGGGAGGAGTGTAAGAAGGGGAGGGAAGCCATAAGAGAGGTGAGGTAGGAATTAGGAAGAGTGGATGGAAGGTGTTGGTGTTAATAAAATGACTTGAGAAGGAGGCAGTCTATCCCTCTAACCCTAACAGACCCTCCCCTTCCACTTCATCAGAGAGTACCTTGGGCCCTGGAAGACTGATTCCTCCCTCCTCCTTTCCCCCAGGAATTATGTCTTTCAGAGGCGTTTTGTCAGGTTCAATGGAAAGAAGCTGATGTATTATGGAAGTGACAAGGTGGGTTTGCATGTATGTGGAGGGTAGGAATGGAGTACAAGGAGGCTAGGAAGGTCAAGGAGGAATGCTAGGTTATTAAGGGACCTGAAATTTGGGAGGAAATCTGAGAGGAAGGAAATGAGGGTCTTAAGGGGAAATGGGGTCTTCCTGGGGTGTTAAGACCAACCTGCTAGAGTTTGTTGACTCTGGGTCAATGCTGATATCTCCCCAGGACACCTTCCCTAAGGGGGTTATCCCACTGACTGTCATTGAGATGGTCCGAAGCTGCAAGGATTGCAAGTTCCAAGTCATCACTAGCCAAAGGGTGTTTGTGTTTCGAGCTGAGAGTGAAGGTGAGAGGAGAGGCAGCCCGGGGTAGGAGGCAAGCAGGCAGACTCACTGCCATCCAATTCTCTTTAATCCAAAAAGCATTTATTAAGGGTATACCATGTGTAAGGTGAGAGGCAGCATGGCAGAGTGGGGGGCTGGCCTTGGCATGAAGAAGACCTGGGTACAAGTCCTGCCTTTGACAGGCTGTGTGATCATGAGCAAGTGATGAACCTCTCAGTGCTCCAGGAAATTCTTTGACTTTAAGTTGTAGATGATTTGTTGACTTTCATCTGTGGAGAGCATTTCCACACCAAGAGGCCCATACATTTATGAAATCACAGGTCTGACCAAAAAAAAAAAAGACTGAGAATCATAGTGCTAGGTATGTATGATATAAAGATAAAAACAAAACAACAGCCTCCGACTTCAAAGAACTTATGTTCTACCAATCATTATGGCACGTAAACATAAGTAAATACAAGATAATATGAGAAAGGAAACAGCAGTAACAAGTGAGGGTATCAGGAAGTGCACTAGATGGCCTGAGACTTGATGGAAGATAGGATTTCCAGAGGGGGAGGTGAGAAGAGACAGCATTCCAGGCATGAGGACAGCCTGGGCAAAGGCATGGGTGGAGACGGGAGATGATATGCCAAATGAGCGGAACAAGAACTTAGGACACTTTGGATGAACACAGAGTATGCAAAGCAGAGTAATACAAAGTAAATCTGGAAAGGTAATCTAGAACCAGATTGTGAAGGGCTTTAAGTGACAAAACGAGGAGTTTGTGTTTTATTCTAGAGGCAATAGGAAGCCGCTGGAGATTCTTGAGCTAGGAAGTGACATAATCAGAATTATGCCTGAGAAATATTATTTTGGCAGCTTTGTGGAGGATGGATTGTAAGGGTTAGAAACAGAGCAAGGAGGAGACTCTTGCAATAGTCCTCCCCAGAAGAGATAAGGAATTGAACTAGGGTGGTGGCAGTTTGAATGGAGAAAAGGGCACTGACACAAAAGATATGGTGATAGTAGAATTGACAAGATGTGGCCCCTGACAGTATGTGGGCAGGGGTGTGATGAGGAAGAGGGAGAGGTTGAGGATAAGTCTGAGGTTGAGGTTGTGAACCTGGGCGATGGAAAGAGTGGTGATGCATTCAGCAGAAGCAGAAAAATTTGGGGAAGGAACAAGTATAGAAAGAAACAATGATTCTATTTTGGCTGTGTTGAGTTTGAGGTGCCTTGGAACTCAGATGGAGATGTCCGCACATTACTTCAAAGTGCTCTCTTAGAGGGCGGTCACGTCAGTCACAGACCCAACCCCACTGTTCTCCTGGGCATTATCTGCATACTCCTCACTCTATGCTTCAACCTCTCCGACACTCATCCCCATTCACCTTCAGCTCAGAGGGACAACTGGTGCTCCACGCTGCAGTCTCAGCTGAAGGAGCAACGGCTTCTAGGCAACCCTCGGCCACCTCATCCACCCCGTCCCCTCCGCACAGGGATCCTAGAACTTCGGGGACACAAAGCTAAAGTGTTTGCAGCTCTGAGCCCTGGGGAGCTAGGACTGTACAAGAGTGAGCAGGTAAAGGGGAAAGATGTAGCATAAGGGACGGGATGGAACCTGAGGTGGGACAAGCTGGATGGAGCCCTTAAGGAGGGCACTGTCCTCCAGCTCCCGAGCTCTAGATGACTCTCTGATACTTCTCCCTCAACTCTCCACCTCTTTAGTCCTTTTCTCTCGGCATTGGAATTTGTTTCATTGAGCTTCGGGGATGCAGTGTCCGGGAGACCAAGAATCGAAGCTTTGACCTTCTTACACCCCATCGATGCTTCAGGTGGGGATAGAGGGCTTGAATCTAGGATGGGACCTTCAGGTGGGGGTACAGAAGCTGGAATTCAGGGAATCTTTGGCCTTCTGAATAATTCAGAAATGGGACTTCCTGGTGAAAAGACTTAGGGGAATTAGTGAGAAGGGTCAGTAACATGTTAGAAGGGTGTCTAAGGGGGCTTACAGATTCTCAGAATTAGAGGGGGCTTCAAAAGCTATATATAGACTAATCCCTATTTGAATAAGCATCCTAAGACATATCCAACAGGTAACCATTCAGTCTTTACTTGAAAGCCTTTTAGTGAGGGAGAGCCTTACCACCTCCAAGGCCATCCACTCCTTTTGCATAGCTCATGATGAAATTACTAATAGCTGCCTCCAGGGAGCCAGTAGAAGCAGGAGGGTCTGAGGATGGATCTGTAGGAAGGTGCAAGGTGGGTCCTGATGAGCTGGCTCAAATATACCCCCAGCTTCACAGCGGAGTCAGCTTGCACACGCCAGGTCTGGGCATCTGCACTGCAGGAGGCCATTACTGAGACTCTGTCTGACTATGAGGTAGCTGAAAAAATCTGGTCCAACCGAGCAAATCGATACTGTGCAGACTGTGGAGCAGCTCGTCCTGACTGGGCCTCAATCAACCTGGGAGTGGTCATCTGCAAGCATTGTGCAGGTGGGGAATGCTGGGCCTGGGCACAGAAAGACTGAGAGGCTAAGGCAGAAGTAGCAAGGGGATGGCTCTGAGGAGGGGAGGGCAGCAGGAGCTCTGTCTGCAAGGCTGGTAGTGTTCAAACCAGCCACTTTCCTATAGGACAACATCGGGCCCTGGGCTCCGGGGTGTCTAAGGTACAGAGTCTGAAACTGGACACAAGCATCTGGAGCAATGAAATCGTGCAGGTAAAGGCAAATGGTGAAAAAGTGGAAAGCAGAGGTGGTTAATGGAAGAGGTTGGGTGGCCCAAGGGAGGATGTCTGAAAAAAACAAAAAGAACTCAAGGTATCCCAGGGACCTGGAGATCTGTGAAAATGGGACCCTGTTGGAACCAGTCACCACAGCCCCTTTGATCTCTTTCTCATCTGTCAGCTTTTCCTCATCCTGGGCAATGATGGAGCCAACCGGTTCTGGATAAAGGGACTGCCCCCAGGAGGAGGGCTGCATCCAGACACTCCCCCTGGCCCCCGTGGGGACTTCATCTCCCGCAAATACCGGCTTGGCCTCTTTCGGGCACCCCATCCTCAGTACCCTGACCACAGTCAGCTGCTGCAGGTGGGAAGGGTAGGGAGGATGGAAGGGGTCAACTTGAGGAGGGCAGTTTGGGGCTGTCCCTTAGACTCTCTGGGTTTGGGAGGGGGTGATAGCTACAGTGGGAGGGGATTGATGGCTGCCCCCCTCCTTCACCCAGGCACTGTGTGCAGCTGTGATGGGACCCAACTTGTTGAAAACCATGATTCAGCTTTTCTCATATGAGGAACCATGCTCTGAAGGCAGTTTCTCTAATCTCCTCCCCCTAGGTAATCCCTTTCTGGTGACTTCCTGGGGACCCTACCTCCAGTCCTCTAGGTCAAAGCCCCTTGCCTTTCTCTAGCCTTGATATATCTTCCCATACCCTCCCAGGACCTCTTCTAAGTTTCTTCAGTCCTAGATCCTTCTTTTATAATCCTCTTGGGTCCCTCCCTACTACAGGAAAATCTGGAGTTTAAATAATGGTCAGTTTTATATAGGCTTCATCCATGCAGAGTTGAGTGGAAGGGGGCTTTTGGAACAAGTAAATGGGACTTGCCACCTCACCAGCCCCACCTCACATTCTACCCTCCATCCCAGACTTCAATTGGGTGGGTGGGAAACTGAAGAATCTGGGACATGCTCCCATTATGATTGGAGCTAGGTAATTTGGGCTCATATCATCTGCACTGATCTCCTGACCTAATCTCTCCCCTCACCCCTTCCAATGTCATCCTTCAGACTCATCCCCTAGTGTGTACAATGAAGTCCTGGTGCCTGCTGCACTAAGTGGCTTTTTGTACTGCAGCGCAGTCAGCAGCAAACCTGGACCTCCACCCCACCGCCGGGGCCGGGATGGTGAGAAAGGGGACCTTGGCAGAAGAGTTGGGGGGAGAACAGGAGTGGTTCTGGAGGTGGGACTGGGGCTTGTGAACACTTAATGCTGATGGAGAGGAGTCTATACTGGGAAGGCTTATAAAGAAATGTTTAGAATGGAGGATGCTGCCCAATATGTGGTGCCTCCCCCATTTTTGCAGCACCCCCTAGGCTATGGTGTGTGTTGGGTGCAGCCCTGGAGATGTTTTCATCAGAGACCAGTCCAGAGCCAATCAGCTTGATCCAGCCTCAGGATGTGGTGTGTCTGGGGGTAAGCCCCCCACCAGTTGACCCAGGGGACCTTGACAGGTAGCCCTCCCAGTACTTTCATAGTCTTTTCTTCCTATCTCCCCATCTTATTGCTCATTCCTCTTCTCTGTAATTCTCCCTGCTTCATCCCCCCAACTCTATGCCCCTAGGTTCCCATTCTCCTTTGAACTCATTCTGACTGGAGAAAAGGTCCAATACTTTGGGACTGATGGAGCTGATAGTCTGGAAGCCTGGACCAGAGCAGTGGGCAAGGTGAATCAGAGCTGAGAGTTCCCTTCATGATATACCATTACCTTTCACAAATTCCCTTTCCCCATCTCCAGGGCTCTCAAGCCCAGGCCTGTGGCATATCCAGGGAGGAGACGGTTAAATACCACCAGCACCTTCACAGTAGCATCCCCTCTATCTCTGTTCCCAAATAAACTAATTGATATTTCCATTTCTTTCCATTTTGATTTTCCTCTCCTTTAACTTTTCTTCATCTCTCCCTGTACTTCTCCGACTCTCCCATCTTTCCTCTTTGGTCTTTTTTCTCATCTCTCCATGTTTCACCTGATGTCTTACTCCATGTCTCCTCTGTCTATGTCTCTACTCTCTCTTCGCCTGCAGTGGTTCTCCCCACTAAGCTGTCACCAGCTCCTGGGCCCTGGCCTGCTGAGGCTGGGCCGTTTACGGTTGCGGTCCCCCTCTCAGACTGCAATGAGCCCAGGCCTCTGGCTGTCTGCCTTTGGCCTCCTCCGAGGTGACCACCTATTCCTGTGCCCAGCACCGGGCCCTGGCTCCCCAGCTCCTGAGGACACTGTGCACCTGAGAAGACTGCAGGAGATCAGTGAGCTAGGGGTGGGCGGTATGGAGAGGGAGGGAGGAATTGGGGGCAGGAGGGACTAGAGGAAATGCCCTAATCTCTCCTTTGAGGGTCACTTAGAGGTCATAAGGGGTCTCTCCTCACTCTTCTCCCTACCCCTTCTAGGTGTAGTATCTGCAAGCGACAGCCCTGATAAGAAAGACCATCTAGTCCTGGTAGAAACAGGAAGGTAAGAGCCCTTGAAGGAGCTGATCCTGCCCACCCCAGCCCCAACACGGGCTGTTCCTCTCCAGCACTCTGGCCGCATCTTGGGGCCTTGCTTCTGATGACGCTGCCTAGTTCTCTCCGGGCACTCTGCCTCCTCTTCAGCTCCGGAGCCTGATCAGATTGGGGTATTCCTGCCCTCTGCTGGTAGCCGGAGGACTCAAGTCTAAAAATGAGCTGTCCAAAAATGGATTGGTTTGTCATAGGAAGCAGTCACTTCCTCATTGCTGGAGTTTACATTACACTAGACACTGAATTACCATTTGTTAGGGACATCATTTGGAGAGAGTCTCTTGCTTAGCATAGATAGGCACTGAGGTCCCTTCCCCCCTAGATTCTAAAATTCTTTGGCAACTTGACTCAGTATCTTCACACCACCCCAGTCATTCTATGGTGGTTCCCCTTCATCTGGCTCTGACCCAAGTCTCCTTGGGTCTCAGGACCCTGTATCTACAGGGAGAGGGGCGTATAGACTTTGCTGGCTGGAGCACTGCCATTGGAGGAGCAGCTGGAGGTGGGGGCACAGCGCTGCAAGGGCAACAGATGAGTCGAGGAGACATTCCCATCATCGTGGATGCCTGCATCAGCTTTGTCACTCAGCATGGTGAGGAGGGACAGAGGGAAGGAGACAGCACAGGGAGCAGTTCTATAGAACTGAGAGGGGAAGCATCCCTGGCAAGTAGGCTCTGTTAACTTCATCCAGTGCTGTGAGTAAGAGAGCACTATCTGAGGGGCGTGGAGGATTAAGGGTGGGTACTGGGCATGTAGAGGAGGATAGAAGATAGTTGAGGAAGGAAGACTAGCAATTTTGAGATGTGAGAAAAAATAATGGAGGGTAACAAGGTGCAATGGACTGTGCCGTGCGGTGTCTGTAGGTCTACGTTTGGAGGGTGTATATAGGAAGGGGGGTGCTCGGGCACGAAGTCTCCGGCTGCTGGCTGAGTTCCGGCAGGATGCACGGTCAGTGAAGCTCCGACCAGGAGAGCACTTTGTGGAAGATGTAACGGACACACTCAAACGCTTCTTCCGGGAGCTGGATGACCCTGTTACCTCTGCACGCTTGTTACCCAGATGGAGGGAGGCTGCAGGTAACTCCAAAGACCTCCTAGGAACTTGCCACAAGCAATTCAAACCCTTCCAGGATCCTCTCTCTTCTCACTAATCTCTTCTCCATCTGGAGGTGGGGGTGGGGAAGTCATCCAAGTATATGACTAGGAGATAAACCTCAGTCATGCTTAGTTGTATCTGAACCCTGGTGTAGAGGACTTTATGCTCTGGAGTGCCCCTAACCCCATCTCTACCATATCTAAGTCCCTGCCTCTAACCCTACTTTATGTCTCCCAACCTTTACTTTCCCCAAACCTCATCCTCCTGTTTTCAGAGTTACCCCAGAAATCTCAGCGGCTAGAGCGGTACAAGGAGGTGATTGGATGCCTGCCCAAGGTCAACCACAGAACACTGTCCACCCTCATTGGTCACCTCTACCGGTCAGTCTAGCACAGAGGTGCCCAAACGTATTTGGCTTACTGCCTCCTTTAAAAAAAAATTACTCAGCACCTCCCTAGAAATCTACTTTCTTTAACCCTTTAATGGTTTTTTTTTGACATTTGCATCATTTTGAAAAAATATAAAATTTTTAAAAAAAACACACATCTTAAATTTTAATAACTTGTAAATTTGTAGGTTTTTTCCTGCATTGAAATTTTAATGATGCAACCATATAGTATCATATTGTAAACAAGTCATTACACGCACATATTCTTGCTGGACTTCCTGACAATGCCCCACAAGCTCGCCTGCCAACACTTGCTTGTTAAGACCTGTCTCTGGACTTAACCACTAATCCATTATAACTTGAATTTTGTGTGTTTATTTGGAAAATAATGTAATACCTATGACTTTAACTCTATTACGTAATGGATGAAACATGTATAAACAGTTTTTCAAAATTTCCTTCTCTTCTCTTTTTTCCTTATGCTTCCAATACCCCCTTATTTTTATTCAACGCCCTCCAATTGCACTAGAGGCTACTACCCCTCCAGGGGGCGGTATCTCCCACTTTGGGAACCTATGGTAGCCAATGTTCCTTCATCTCCCAAGCTGACCTCACAGTGTTTCTAACTCATTACCCATAACGATCTCTTAAAGGACTCTTGTTATTGACTTCAGTCTAACAATTGGACCATGTTAGTGGTCTCATTCCATGACTCCCATGCCTCTCTCTCAGGGTGCAGAAATGTGCAAGTCTGAACCAGATGTGTACTCGGAACCTGGCCCTGTTATTTGCACCAAGTGTGTTCCAGACAGATGGTCGAGGGGAGCATGAGGTTCGGGTGTTGCAGGAACTCATTGATAACTACATATCTGTCTTTGATGTAAGGAGGACAGACTTCCCAACTCCAGTGACTCTTTAATCCATTGACATTGCACATCTTCGGTCTCAATGCCTTTCAATCTTTCTCCCCTTCACCAGCCCTCAGTATCAACAGCCTGAACTGCCTTACATCAGTGGCCATCTCTTTTCTCCCTCCCTGAGGCCAGTAACCCTTCCTCCCAAGACCTCACCTCTGTGACCATGAAAAACCAAATTCTGACAGTATATACAACCTTCTCAACCAGTAGTTCTCCATCCCTTAAATGAAAGAAGGGATGTACATTTCATCTTTTCTGATAGTCTCCTCATTTCTACCACTGTCATCCCACTGACCCTCAACTGCTAATCTCTGACCCTTCTCATCCTACATAATAAGCACATTCTGGTTTTCTCCAGGGCTTCTAGGTGGAAAGGTAGGGAGCTAGGTGGTATAATGGGTAGAACCCTGGACCTGGAGTCAGGAAGACCTGAGATAAAATCTAGCCACAGATACTGACAAGCTGTGTGACTCTGGGCAAGTCACTTAACCTCTGTCTGCCTCAATTTCTTCAGCTGTAAAATGGGGATGATAATAGCATCTACCACCTAGGGTGGTTGTGATGATCAAATGAGATAACATTTCTAAAGTACTTTGTAAACTTGAAGTGCTATATAAATGCTAACTATTATTATTATTATTCTACCACCCAGAAACTTTCTTTATTAGGTTTCTTTATGCTCCCATAGTTCCCCAACACTTCCCAGTGTCTCTTACTCTCTCACAGATCGATTCAGACCAAGTGGCTCAGATTGACCTGGAAGTCAGTCTCATAACTACCTGGAAGGATGTGCAGGTAAGTTGGCCCAGATCCTCACTTATAGCATTGGGGGGCATCAAGAGAAGATGCCGAGGAGCATCTAGGTGGTGCAGTGGATAAAGCTCTGGCCTTGGAGTCAGGAGGACCTGAGTTCAAATCCAGCCTCAGACACATGACACTTATTAGCTATGTGACCTTAGGCAAGTCACTTAACCCCGATTGCCTCACGAAGAAGAAGAAGAAGAAGAAGAAGAAAAAGATGCTGACTCTCTGGCTAAATCAGGAGACTCCTTCCAAATTCCCCTCTGGATCCCTTCCCTATTTTCCTAGAACCTTAAGATGTGGAGTTCTCTCCTTCCCTTTGACCCTCTGACTCATCCCTCACCTCAATCTCTATCCCACGCTCACCCTCCAATCTATAAAGGCTTCAAGGGATTCCAAATGATGTACCCAACTAATTCCCCTGTCCCAGACCCAAGCATAAGGGCCAGGAGGAAACTAAAGCAATGTGAGTAAGTATGGCCAGTGATCTGAAGCAGCAAGAGCTGCTTGGGCCTCTGAGCTTGACCATTTATCCACACCTTCTTCTCTGCTCTTCCATTGACTGCTCTCCTCCCACGCCACCCCACACCAAAGCTGTCACAAGCTGGAGATATCATCATGGAAGTGTACTTGGAACAGCAGCTACCAGACAATTGTGTCACCCTGAAGGTTAGCCTTGGGAGGACTGGAAAGGAAACAAAAGGATGGAGCAAGGGTGAAGGGAGACTTGAGAGCTGCAGCCCTGGCTCTTGCTATCTTTTTCTGGCCTCAGGTTTCCCCAACACTGACTGCTGAGGAGCTGACAAATCAGGTACTAGAGATGAGGGGAGCAACAGCTGGCACAGACCTGTGGCTGACATTTGAGATCCGGGAGCACGGCGAGCTTGGTGAGTCGGGCTCTGATAAGGACTGGCCATAGGTGGGAGTGCATTCCAGGCCATGAGCTTCTCTAATCTCTACGCCTGACCTTCCAGAGCGGCCCCTGCACCCAAAGGAACGGGTCCTAGAACAGGCCCTGCAATGGTGCCAGCTCCCTGAACCAGGCTCTGCTTCCCTGTTGCTGCGCAGGGTCTCCCTAGCCCAGGCCAGCTGCCTCTTTACAGGTGAGGCCAACCCCCTTAATCCCTTGTTTATCTCAGTACTACTTGTGGCCTTTCCCTAACTAGACATAGAGTATATAGCACTGAACCACTTATCCTTGGATTATCCCACTCTCCCCAGTTTCCTTGGTCCATCACTTGCCCATCTATGCCCAGGTGTGCGTCGGGAGAGTCCCCGGGTAGGCCTGCTTCGGTGCCGGGAAGAGCCCCCCAGGTTGCTAGGAAGTCGTTTTCAGGAAAGGTTCTTCCTACTTCGGGAACGCTGCCTCTTGCTGCTCAAGGAGAAAAGGGTGAGTACCTGGGATAAGTCATCTTCAGAGCCCCATAGCCCCATCCCAGAGATGATCCTTCATATGCCCCTGAGATGATTCTACAGTCTTCTCCACCTACCCTTACCATGCCAGAGGCCCTAGGACTGTGGGCTTGGAATTGGTAAAGTCACCTTGGGCAGACAGGAGGTGATCCTGATCATTTGGTCGTCCTCATGACCTTTCTGACCCTGATTCCTCATTGACTAAATGACTTCCCTGACCTTGTCTCCAGAGTTCTAAGCCAGAGCGAGAATGGTCTTTGGATGGTGCAAAAGTTTACCTAGGAATACGCCGAAAGCTAAAGCCACCAACACCGTGAGTCACTTGAAGGCTTTGTCTTCTCTCCCATTTGTACATTTTCACACCTCAATTCATCCCTCTTCTTTTTCCTCAACATTGCTCTCCCTTGGTTCCTAGATGGGGGTTTACACTGATCCTGGAGAAGCTGCAGCTGTGAGTATTACCATCTACTCCAAGGCTTCCTTCCAATTTTTTTCCTCTTGCTCTACCCATGCCCCTCTCTTCATTCCCTTTCTCTCACTTATGTCTCTTTTCCCCTTTGACTCCTCTTACTTCATTATCTCCCTCACTGTCGAATGATAGAGGGTAAAAATGTCTGGCTGCTGCTGCCTACCCCAGTTTAATGTCTATGTTCAGCCACTTTCACTCTCTCTTTCTTTTTCTCTCTGACCACTCCTCAGCTACCTGTCTTGCACAGATGAGGATGAGATGTGGGACTGGACAACCAGCATCCTTAAAGCACAGGTAAATAAGAAGCTGCGATGAGTAGAAGAGATTGTGTGCCCCCTACTACTCATCACACACTCTTTGTGAGCTGGCTTATACCCATTAATATCTCCCATGTCCCTGCCCAGCATGATGATCAGCAGCCTGTGGTCCTTCGGCGGCATTCTTCTTCTGACCTAGCCCGACAGAAATTTGGCACAATGCCCCTGTTGCCTATTCGAGGTGATGACAGTGGTGCTACCCTGCTCTCTGCCAACCAGACACTGGTATGACCCCTCCCAATCCCTCCTTAACCCAGTCCCTGTACTCAAGACACAGTCTCATTCCCCCTGCCCTTGTTCCTTCATGGCCAGGCTTTGGAAGCTCAAGGTTGGGGTCATTCTACTCACAAAGGGACAGGGTTAGGGCAGCACCTCACCCTCCAGTGAAGTCCACCATCTTCTATGCCCAGTCCCTACTCAGTGTCTCAACGTTCCTATTCCCCCTGCTCTGCTCTCTGCCTGTTGTTGCTCATTGTGTCTTTCCCACCCCTACTGCCTGTGTTCAGCGCCGACTGCACAACCGGAGGACACTATCCATGTTTTTTGTGAGTACTGTGCCCCCTTTCCCCAATGCCATGTGCTCTCCTATGTTCCTCTGTGCCCACCCCTGAACAGGGGATTGCTATGTGCTCCTGATGTGTTGAACATTGGTCTCCCTGTGAAGCTGGGAGCATGGTTCTGTAGGGGGGGAGGGGGAGCTACTACGGCATTAGACTATCAGAACAGAAGGGAGGGGACCTTAGGGGGATAAGAGACATCACAGGAACCCTAATCCACCCACTCCACATGCAGCCCCTGAAGCTGTCTCAGGATTCTGTGGAAGAGCAAGAAGAAGAGGCTGAGGAGCCAGTGTATGAAGAGGTAGGAGCCTTCCCTGAACTGACCAAGGACTCTCCGATTCCACTGGACCAGACATCTGAACCAGAGGTCCCTGAGGATTCTCCCACCAGCCGGACTGCATTTCCAGAGCAAAGCCAGAGCCTACAGAGTGACTGTCCCCCGCTTTCTAAGTCAAGCTCCCTTGGACAAGAGAGGGGACCCCCAGAACTGCCTCCTGGCCCCCCTCGGAAAACCAGTTTTCAACATCGTTTGTCTCTGGAAGATAAATTAGTACAGGAGCTGAACTCACTGATTCTGCAAAAGGGAGAGGCCTCTTTTCCCAGTCTCCCTGCCTCTCAGCCTCCCAGCCCCCCAATACGGACCCCTAATCCCATCAGCCACCCTATGCAAACTCCTGGACACTCTCCCAAATCTCCCTGTAATTCCCATTCCCCATCTGGCCAACACCTTACATGACCCTGAAGCCAGTAACCAGCTCCAGGATGAGGTGGTAGAAGGACCTGATGCTCAAGGGACAAAGGACAACAAACATTTACTAAATGTCTGCCCTCTGAGGGACTAAGTTTAAGGCTGGAGATAGATAAAAAAGAGATAAAAAGCCCCTGCCTTCAGGGAGCTTATATTCTACAGACTCCAGGCTCCTACCTACCTACAAGAATATTGAAAGCACCTATGGGAACTCCCTCAGCCACAGACCAGGACAGCCCTAACCTGTCCCTGAAAATCCAGTGTGGCATGGTATAGTGGAAAGGATGAGTCAGGAGACCTGGGCTCCAGTCATGATTCTGTCACTAACTAGTTCTGTGACCTTGGGCAAGTTCTTTCCCTTGATGAACCTCAGTTTCCTCATCTGTAAAATAAGGGAGTTTTTCTAAGGTCCCTTCCAGGACTGACATTTTATGTTCCAAGACCCCAAAAGAACCTCTGTGCTCAGTAGGCCTGTTGGATTGAAGAGGTTTGGAGGCAGGCAGCCAGGCAGGGTGAGAATCGACTGAATAAACTTTGAAAACAAAACAGCTACATATTTGCCTTTGCTTCCCCTAAGAAACTAGTTGAGGAGGTGTAGAAAATTGGGTCGAGGACACTAAGCTTAAGTTATATATGACTTGGGAGAGTATCAGCTTGAAGAGAGGGTCAGTGCACGATGCCTTGAAAGGAAGGGAGAGAATTGGGGAAATTTGAGGCACTCCTTGGAAAAGAGAGCGCTTCTGGGGTAACAAGTGAGAGATCCCTCCACCACCTCCAAGGCGCTGCTCTCAGCCCAGTATCGCTGAATACCGGGGAGCTCCCACAACGTACCTTTGCTTGGCCCAGTCGTCTCTCCCACTCCCGGGCCCCAGGCAGCTCTCTCACCGGGACTGCTCTGGCTTTTCCGGTTCGGTGAGAATTTGGAGAAGTCAATCCCAGAGCCCCCGAACCGGGACCTAATCCAGCCCTGGTTGCCCCTGTTTCCACCCTACTTTCCCCCGAATCAGTTTGTCCCCCATCTAAGAGCATCGACGTCATCACAACCACTTCCTCTACCTTCTTCTCTCTGCTCCCCCCCTTTCCCTGTCCGGTGGTGGTCGTGGTGGTGGGACTACAGTTGCTGATCTGCATATGTAAATAAATATATTTGCATAAAAGAATACATTGGCTAAAGAGACTAATTATGGGTTGAGTCAGCGGCTCAGCCGGAAATGGAACCCAGGCGTCCAGACTCCCCAGCATAGGTTCTCTCCCCAGCCCCGCAGACGCCGCGTCCTCCCTGCGGCCCCTGACCTCCCCCTCTGGTCATTCACCCGCCAGGCTCCGCAGGGCTCCTCCCCGTCCTCCGCTTCCCGTCGCCAGCCTCCCGAAGTTGGCGCGGCTCAGATCCGAGCTGGGGCTGGACAGGGGAAGAGGGGTGGTGGAAAGGGGGGCCGGGGGCGGGGCTTGTCTGGAGGGGTGGGGCCTCCAGGAGTTCCGGAGTCAGAGTCACAGCTTCGGTCGGATCTGGAACCCGAGTGAAGATGCAGCCGCCGCCGCGAAAAGTGAGTGCACTTGGGAAGGAGGGGACAGAGCAGCCCGTCTGGCGGGCGGTGAGAAGGGGCTCCCGGGCCGTGGGGGGTCAAGGACGAGGGAAGGAGCAAGAAAACGAAGACAGCCCCGCCTCCTGGTCCCCGCCCCTCGAGCCTCCCCACCCCCCACGTGGGGTCCAGTTGGAGCATTTCCAGAATTGAACTTCAGCCCCTCTTCCTACCCCAGTGGAATAGATTCCTTGCCCATCCCTTCCCCCTTAGGTGAAGCCGGTCCAGGAGGTGAAGCTGCGCTTTCTGGAGCAGCTGAGCATCTTACAGAGTCGGCAGCAGAGAGAGGCCGACCTACTGGAGGACATCAGGTAGTCTCTCTCCTGGAGAAATAGACAGGAACCCTTAGCTGGGCCTGTTGAGGGGCATCAGCCGCTGTCTCTAATATCTCCTGACACACTCACAGAAACACCCCCAAAGATACACACATGTATCTTCCTACAGACATGCCTTCCCACAGACAACCCCCCCCCCCCAACACACTACACGAACAGTCCTACAAATAGATACCCCTAACACTAGACTGTGTTGTGGTGGATAGGATGGAGAATGAACAGAGGAAGGGGATGGGAGGTCATTAAACTATTCTACAGTTCTGAGACATACGAAGAAGAGCATGTGTTCACTATATTGTGGAAGGTGCTATATTTATACCCCCCTCAATAAGCTTCTCTACCTTAGTACACACTATAGTATATAGTCCCTCATACACATACACAGCCCCTAGTTAGAGATATCCCTAAAAAACCCTCCCCTAGCTCAGCCAACAGCTCAAGACTGTGTGTATGTCATTTCCCCTTCTTCCACCAAGTGCATATACATCTACCTCCCCAAATTCCCCCATAATATGTATAGAAAATGCTCTGCTTCCTCCAAAATCTATTTCACACAAACCTTATCTGTCTTATACGTCCCCACTTTCATGACAGGAACCAAAGTGTATTTCCCCAGGGTGCTATCTATCTCTAACTCAGCCCCATTGAGGGTACTAGAGGCTAATGTTTTGGAGAAATATCAGTATAGACCACACTAAAGTCACTCCCTGATTCTATATATTCTAGTTCACTCCTCATCTCCCAACCTCATCCCATAGATGTTGGGATGTATGGTCAGTGGCAATGGGTGTCAGGAGGTGCTGGAGGTGTGGGGAAGGTGGAGGAGCTAATAAACTATTATCTCGACAGATCTTACAGTAAACAACGGGCAGCTATTGAAAGGGAATATGGACAGGTAAGGAACGGTTGTTCCCGAGGGCAGCTCCTCACATCTCTGCCCTGAGAAGTAGTACCCTGCTATTCATGCCCACTCATATCCCACCCTCACCATACATGATGTTCATACTTCTTTTCAATTCTGTTCATCCCAAACTCATTCCCTTTCCTTTCTCAGGCTCCCCAAGGAACCATGAACCCTGACTGTTCCTTCCTTTACTCCATGGGTGGTGGTGGTGATGGCAGTTGGTTTTGATATATGGGGCTGTGTATATGATGGGCTCTCCCCATAGGCATTACAAAAATTGGCTGGGCCGTTCCTGAAGAAAGAAGGACATCGGGGCTTGGAGACTGATGGCAGGTGGGGAACAGGGGAAGAAGTAGAAAATTGGGGCAGAGAAACTAAAGAAAGCTGGATGACCAAGATATTAAGCAGCCCCTGCGGATAGGGGAACAGAGAGTTGGGCTTGGTGGGGCGGGGTTCAGGTGAACTTGGAAAGCTGAGGCTAGAGCTGATGCTGTAGCTAAGGTAGGAAGGAGGCTGACCCAGCAAGGACATGGCAGTGGGGGTGGGGAGGCTGTCAAGTGATCCCTGTGGCTAAGCTAATGGGCAGATCGATTGATGGACTGATGGGTCAGCAGGGAATCAGGGGATGGGGCAGGGAAAAGAATCTGTTTTACTCATTGGGGGAAGGGGTTATAAACACAAAAACCTTCTTTCTCTTGTATTTTAAGGATTATAATGCTCTAATATGCCTTCCCAACCCAACTCTGACCTTGGTTGTTGGTTTTTTTGGGGGGAATGGGGCAGGACTGTGTTTAATGCCTGGCGGTGCCTGCTGGAGGGCACCATGGCCGGGGGCCAGGCCCGTGTTCTTGCCGCTGACCGATACCGAGACTTGGCTGGGGGCACAGGGAGAAATGCCAAGGAGCAGCTGCTCAGGAAGGTGTGGGGAGTGGCTTTGGGAGGGTACACTGAGGAGAGAGGACTAATGGGGGAGGACGTCCTGGAAAAGCGGGGCGGGCAGCTGACCTGAGGGAGGAGTAAGGTGGATGTGATGATGCCCATGTATTTGGGAGGGTACCCATGTCCTGGAGGTACCCCCAGGGTGCTGAGCAGTTGCAGCGGGCCCAGGCTGAAGTGCTGGAGTCTGTGAGGGAGCTGAGCCGGAGCCGGAAGCTATATGGGCAGCGGGAGAGAGTGTGGAGCCTTGTTCAGGAAAAGGCAGCTGATGTCCAGGCCAGGTGGGGGCTCTGGGGAAATGGAAGTCCTGGGAGGGACTGAGAAGGCTGAGGGTGGGGGTAGTTCCAGAGCAGGGCTAACATGGGGCAATAAGAGAGGTATGTGATATAGTATTTGGAGTAGGGAGATTTGGGTTAAAATGTGAGCTCCCCATGAGGGAGTTACTTAACTTTTCTAAACCTCATTTGCCCTATCTGTAAAATGGGGATAATAATGCTTGCTTTTTCTACCTCACAGGGGAATGAAGGAAACATTGCAAACCTTAAAGCACTATAGCAATGGGAGTTATTTATTATTATTATTAATATCTCTAGGGCAGGGTGGGGGGAGAAAAAAAGAAATGTATATAACTTTATTATATATTTAAAAGGAATAGCAAGTTGTACATAACAGATTTGCAGTTTCATGTGGAATCATCTTTTTTTATTACACTGTGTCATGGAAATGCTTGTTTTATTCCATAAATTAAAAATAAAAAATATATAAATAAAACATATAACATATCACAATATAACATAACATGATTAGTACAACTAACTTCTCATTTACTTCCCTTCTCTATCTGCCCTAAATCTAACTCCTTCAGGCTGAATCGAAGTGACCATGGTTTATTTCATACTCGGACCAGCCTTCAGAAACTCAGCCTCAAGGTCAGAAGCGGGGATTGGGCTCCAGGGAAGATGACAAATGATTAGAGGTTATGGCTGGGAAATGATGAACCATTGCCCAGTTCTGGGCTAAACTAAGAAAAAGCTCTGACCTGCAGGAAGTACAGGGGGGGCTCCAGGGTCCCCTGTCCCACATGCTTATTTCTTCTTTTGACCCCTCAGTTATCAGCCCAATCAGCTCAGTACTCCCAGCAATTGAGTGCTGCCCGGAATGAATATCTGCTTAGCTTGGCAAGCACCAATGCCCACCTTGGGCATTATTACCAAGAGGAGCTGCCTGCGCTGCTCAAGGTAAGTGAGGCCCTGTAGCACACCCCCCTTTGTCTCTGGGACATCACTGCTGTTATTCTAACTGCTATCTGCCAGAGGCCAAGCAATCAGAAGTTCTTCCCTCTCTGCTCTCTCAAGCCTGGACATGGGAAGATAGAGGTCAAGGCTTTAGTGTCTTGGGATCTCCTCTAGGGCTTGGTTGGGAACCTGTCTGAGCAGCTGGGTGACCCCCTGGCCCTGTTGAGTCGCACAGAACTGGAAGCTGCCCAGCAGGAACTGGAATTGGCCCAGAGAAGGAGACAGGTGATCACTCAGGTCAGTTTCCTCTCCATCCTTGCCCCAGAACCAAAACCTGCCCTCCAACATAGACCTTCTCATTAGCATAGAACCTCATCCTTTATCTCCAAAAGTCCCTCTCCACAATGTAGATCTCTGCTTACCTCCAACCTAGATCTTCCCTTCTTGGTCTCAGCAAATTCCCCAGAGTAAGTAGGCTTTCTCTCAACACAGATTGTTTTGCTTGATCGCAGCACAGAAAACCTTCTCTCCATTTGCCCCCACCATGCATCTTTTTTTTTCTCATCCTCCCCACCAATGGTTCACTAGCTCTTCCTGAGGAGTACTTGTCTCTATTTCTCCCTTGCCCCCAGGTAAGCTGGGAACAAGAGTTGCTGCACTTTCTCCAAGAGCCTGGAGTGTTCTCCCCAACACCACTACAGCAATTTCAGCCAATGGGAGCTGACCAGGTGAGATCTTCTTCTTCTTCTTCTTCTTATTTTTTTTTAGGCAATTGGGGGTTAAGTGACTTGCCCAATGTCACACAGCTAGAAGTGTCAAGTGTCTGGTCTGAGACCGGATTTGAATTCAGGTCCTCCTGACTTCAGGGCCGGTGCTCTATCCAGTGCGCCACCTGGCTGCCCCAAGATCCTCTTCTATCTCTCTTTCTCAGACCAGTCTCAGGACAAATGTCCTTATGTTTGGGGTATCCTCTATTACTCTGGAACTAGATCACATGCTGTGTGCCTAGGGAACGGGGTATTCAAGGTCACTGTCCCCTTCAAGCTTTGATTCTCCTTCTTAGTAAGGGTATCATCCCATCTCTCCCAAAGGTTCTCCATCTGGGCTTCCCTATATGTAAATGTCTGTCCCTGCATGTACATATTGGTGTCTGTGTCCTTTCAGTTCAATTCAACAAGCATTTATTGAGTGCCTCTAAGTACAAGGCACTGTGCTAGGTATTGGAGATACAGTGACAAAAATGAAAAATCCTCTGCCCTCAAGGAGCTTCCATTCTACTGGAATGATAAAAGATATTTATTTAGGCCTTTAAGACTGACAAAGTTCTTTACCCACTGTATCATATTTTATCTTCCTAAGAACTTGATGTGGCAAATACTACATGTATGTCTGTGTCGTGGGTTTGTCCTTATCCCTGATGTGTCCTCATCTCTGTGCCTCTGCTCCTGGAGAGGAAGACAGAGATAGACAGAGAAAGAGAGAGACAAAGAGGGAGACAGAGAAGGCTGGAAGATGATCAAGGTAGGGGAAGTGACGGGCATTGTGCTTCCTCCTAATGCCTACCCATGACCAGGTGTGTGTGCTGGAGCTGGAAGGAGGCTCAGGGGGTATTCCAGGAGAAAGTGGCCTGAAGAAGGAGGCTCAGCACTGGGCCAACAGAGCTGCTCGAGATTACAAAGTCCAGAGTCATGGGCAGCGGGTGAGTTGGGGAAAATCTGGAATGGTATGGGAAAGAAGGAAGGGCTTGAAGTGGGGAGTTGTGAGGAGGAGGGAAACAATTTATCATGTCAGTCATAGGGCATCTCAAGCTGAAAATGGAGTTTCAATCAACAGGACTCCCCATTCTTCCTGTCCTCCTTCTCAAACCAGGTGCTGCAGAGGTTAGAGTTGAAAAGACAGCAGGCCCCAGAACGGGAGGCCTCAGGTGTGGAACTTCGACTTCAGGAAGTTAAAGAGAGTGTTCGTCGTGCTCAGGTGTGGACATGACTGGTGCCAGCCTAAGGCAGTGTGTGTGGGGGTGCCCTTTCCAAATCCCTTGCTTCAGTGGTCCTGGCAAGAAGAGTTGGGTTGGTTGGGACACACTTCACTGGTGGGAGAGGGCATAGGGGAAGGTGAAAAGCTAGAGTTGTTGTGTGGCCCCTTGCTCCATCATGTACCCTCTTCCTCCTCCCTTGTCCATATGCCAGGTCAGCCAGGTGAAGGGGGCTGCTCGACTGGCTGTGCTACAAGGGGCTGGGTTGGATATAGAGCAGTGGCTTCGGCCAGCTATGTCCCAGGCCCAGGAAGAGCTGGAGCAGGAGAGGCGGCTTAGTGAGGCCCGGCTATCCCAGAAAGGAGACCTCTCTCCCACGGTGAGATAAGACTTTCTCTCCCCTGTACCCAAAGAAAAGCCCATCCCTACTGTGATTCCTCTCCTCCCACCAAGGAGGATCCCTTCCTCCAGACTGAGAATGTTTTCAAAGGCTCCCTCCCCCATAGTAAAAATTAGACTAAATTGGAGGACAGACCCTGATCAGAGGATTTATCTCCCTAGCCAAGGAAACTGATGCAGAGGTTTGGGATTGGGCAAGCACATCTTTAATAAATGGTGAATGCAATTCTGGGGATGGGAGACTGTGGTCAAGGAACTGATACCCCCTTCTGTGTCTCCTACCAGGCAGAGGATGCAGAATTGTCAGATTTTGAGGACTGTGAGGAGGGCGGGGAGCTGTTTCAAGAGCCAGCTCCCCCAACCCTCTCCACTAGGTCCCTCCCTTGCCCAGCACATGTTGTCTTTGGCTATCAGGTAGGGGCACAGTGGTTGGGGTTAGGGAGAGCCCCAGGGTGGGGGAGTGAACACCCCTTGAATGAGAGTGGGGAGGAAAGGACAAAGAATGGTCTGGATCTGAGACCATCCCTGTGGGGCTCAGGCCGGGCGGGAGGATGAGTTGACCATCACAGAAGGAGAGTGGCTGGAGGTCGTGGAGGATGGGGATGCAGATGAGTGGGTCAAGGTATGTGTTGGGGCCCTAGGGAACGAGGGTGACGGGGTGAAGGCCCTGGGCTCTGACTCTGAGAGGGGATGGAGAGCATGGGAAGTATTTCTAGATGGTCCCTAAGGAGATATGGAGCTGGAGGCCCTTTTTAAGACAGCAAGCTCCTAGGGGGAGAACCCTGGGGGGTTTTGATCCAGTTGGATTTCTTCCTTCTCCATCACTTCCAACGCCTCCCCACCTTTTCCATCGTGATCAGGCTCGGAATCAGCATGGTGTGGTGGGTTATGTCCCAGAGCGATACCTTGACTTCCCAGACCTTGCTGCTCCTCAGGAGGGACACCACAGTGACAACCCCCCAGGGGGAAATTCCACAGGTGAGGGGGCCTCAACACATTAGGAGACCAGTGGTGTTAAAGTGGAGTGTGTCATGTCCCTGTTATCCCCTTCATTGTCTCCCTGATCCTGCTCCACAGTGTGCCTGGCCCGAGCCCTGTACAGCTATGCAGGCCAGAGTGACGAAGAGCTGAGCTTCCCAGAAGGAGCACTGATCCGGCTGCTGCCCCGTGCCCAGGGTGGTGTGGACGATGGCTTTTGGAGGGGAGAGTTTGGGGGCCAAGTTGGAGTTTTCCCCTCCCTTTTGGTAGAGGAATTGTTGGGCCCTCCGGGACCCCTAGACTCCCCAGACCAAGAAGAGGTGAGCTGGCTTTATACTTTAAAAGGATGATTGGTGTTCCCTGCCCTAAGGGCAAAGGGGTGAGGGCCCTGGGCTCTGACTCTGAGAGGGAATGGAGAGCATGGGAAGTATTTCTAGATGGTCCCTAAGGAGAGATGGAGCTGGAGGCCCTTTTTAATACAGCAAGCTCCTGGGGGGAGAACCCTGGGAGGGGGGGGTTGATCCAGTTGGATTTCTCCAAAAAGGGCCTCCAAGAAATTTCTCCAGGAGGGTCCAACATCCATCAGGCCTAGGCTATAGGCATTAGCACCTCCCCACCTGGGTACAGGCATTTCATTACAACTTGTGTTAGGGAGCTGAGGGGTGGTATAGGATGGAGAAGTGGGGGGAAGGTGAGAGTCAAGGTCTCCCTTTCTCCCAAACACAAGAGCTGACTTCCTCAGTAGACTTCCATTCATAAAACTCCTGCCTTATCTCCCAGATGCTGCCATCCCCATCTCCCCCAAGCTTCTCTCCTCCAGCTCCCATCCCTGCTGCTGGTAGGACTGCAGGAGCTCTGTCTGAGGGTGAGTTGGGGAACCTGGGATTGAAGAGAGACAGAGGACTCATAGGGAAAGAATATTTTACGCCATATCAAATTGAAATTCTTCTGTCAGACTTCCAAAGCTCTCTTTAATCTAGCCCTACCCTACCTATCCATCTTCTATTACATGAATCTCCTAAAAGACACAGTCTGCTCTACTTAAGCCTTTTAAAAAATTGTTGCCAATGTTGTGTCCCACACCACAACTCCCTCTACCCCTGTTGCCATCACCACCTAGAATATCCTCTCCATGCTCCCCAGCCTAACTTAACCTTAGCTGAAGGCTTCTGTGATCTGAAATGATCTCCTTCTCTCTCCCTTGAGTTTTTATAACATCCATAAACTATACCATGCTATTTAGTATTTAATTATACATTTTCTTGTATTGTATGCTATTATTCTGTACGTTAATTTTGTTTCCCTAACTAGTTAGAAGCTTTTTGAGAGCCTATGTTTTAGGCTCTTTTTGTGCCCTGATAGGGCACAACACAGGAAGGTGAAATATGTACTGGATAAATTATTGCTTTGATTGATCTGATGGCTCCAAGTTTGCTGACCTCTTGTTCTTTCTCCAAGACTACCCTCTGGATTGCTTTGGCCCAGTTGATTCATCAACCCCTCGTCTCCGGCCGGTAAGACCTCTTCTCTGGGGTAGCCCATGTAGGAAGATGGTTCACTATCCTGGCCTACAGCTGTGAAATATGTGGGAGGGACAGCTAAAGGAGGTTGGTTCTGGGGGTCATGGCACTGATTGTTGGCATTTTCCTTGTAGCTGCGCCCACCCCCACCCCCACCCACCAAAATCCTGGAGCCTGAGAGATTGGAGCCCCTCACCTGAGCCCAGTGGGGAGTCCCAGCCTCCTCCTTATTGATGCCTCCCAACTGCTGAGTGGCTGCCACCAGAGAAAGTGTGTGATGACCTCTCCCCAACCTCATCTCCCCTCCTGGAAGCCAAGGCTGGGGCAGGGCCCTAGAACACCTAGGCAGTATAGATGGGTCAGGTTTCCTGTGTCTGGGGTTGCCTTCCTGAGGCTGTGGCCACTTATGACTAGTCCCACCACCCACCTCCCTCTCCCCACCCCTGCCCCTGGTGGGTTGGGGGGGAGGGGTCAGAAGTCGTGGGAACCAGTGTGCAGATCCGCTGTAATAGTCTGAGCTGATTTATTGACAGTGCAATAAAGGGGCGAGAAGCCCAAGCCAGTGCCTGAGCTTTTGTGTGCTGAGAGGGAGGCCTAATGGGGAGTATTGCTTCGGGTGCCCATCTTGAGCATGGGGCCTGCTCCCAAATGCCACGCTCAAGCAGAGGAGCAAGTTGATGGAGGAGGAGGGAGCCTGGGGTGAATGTAGGGGCAACTTCTCCTCACCTTTGACCTGTCTTAGGCTGGAGATGAAGTGGAGGGAAGGGATTGAGAGACTGGGGACCACTCTCCGAATTCCCGGACTGGGATAATAATGGCCCCCTGGGAAGAAGGGTTGTTCTATTTTCCTGGAGGGCAATGCTGTCTCAGAGTAAGGAGGGGGCTTCATGCTTGCCCCTCTTCCCTGCCCAGCCAGCTACTGATCCTTGCAGTAGGGAATAAAGATGAAGCTTGGGGAAAAGGAGAGGGAAGGGGATAGTCTTCTGGCCACCTCTAGCCTCTTTCTCCACTGCCCCACCCCCAGCCCCAATTCACACTCTACCTCTGGTTGTCCTTCCCTTCTCAATGCCCCTTGGAGCAGTGGTGCCCTTAGCCCCTCCCTCCTTAAAATCAGCATCATAGGCTGAAGTGTTCAATTTACCTTTCAACTTAGGGAAGTGGTGGGGTGCCCCCCCTTCCCTGGAAGCAAACACACTTTGGGAGGGCCAGACTCACCTCATACTCCTCCTGAGCCAACTGGCGGTGACACCTGAGATAAAGAAGGGAAGTCATACCATAAGCTGTCTAATTTCATCTAGTCAGAAAACTGGATCTACTAAGTAGGGACAGTGGCTTTACCCAGAAGTTCTACCCACCCTGACTTTCCTATACACACATCTGACTGTTGCCTACCTGGAGATCTGAGGCATCCAGTTTGGCTGGCTGTCCATTAGTTTCCTTTCTGGTCAACACTGGCCTTGTGTCCCTCTCTCTGGCTGCTGCCTCCAAGTCTTCCATGGCTCCAGAGAGCCTCTCAATCAGAGAGGGAACAAGATTCCTTTCTCTGAGGCCCCCATTCTGTACAGGGGAACTAGATAGGATGCCAACCTCTGGTCCTGATGCTGGAAGTCTCTCTGTGGCAGGAGTTCCAGTCCCAATCTGCCCTTTCCCAGAACTCTGGCCACCCCCTGGGTCCTGCTCACCACTGGAGCCCCAACTTCTATCTGTGGGTGAGCCATCCCGATGTTCATGAAGCCCAAATCTCTTCTCAATATGTGTCACCCGGAACCTGGGAGGGAAGGGGATATGCTGTGGCTCAGTATTGCTAGAGGCTCTCTGAACCCTTTCTCCCAATATTGACCCCTGCACCCCTATTTGCTGACATTTGATAGCTTCTGACAGCAAAGAAAACCTCAGCAGAAAGGTGAATCTTAGGGTTCCAGTCTATCCCCCAAGGGTACTCTCTGGATGGAAACCCTCCTCTCCCCCTACTCTCCAAGATAGGAGGGGAATAGTAAGGGAGTCTGGATAAATTTCCCAGCCAGGCTAACTATTTTAGAAAGATCTACCACCTGAATGGGAGGACTTGAGCTCTGCCCCCCTTCTCTTTGGGTGCCCCATCCACACCTGCCCACAGAGAACACTGTGGTCTCCCCTGGCCTAGTACGGCCCTTGCCCTCTTTGGATCGGCCCTGTCGGACGAGAGGTGGCCTCTTATTTCGGCTGCAGTGGATACAGGGGGCGGCTGATCCCAGATGAACTGTATGGTGGTGAGATGGAGTCCCATCCTGCAGGCTTGGAGCACCATCAAGGCTGGGGGAATACAGGAGAATCCTTTTCTCTATGCCCTCTGTGAATCCATTCCCCCTCCCCCATCTTTCTATCTGCTCTATTCTCTTTCCAAAATCTGATTCACACTAAGGAACCAGTGACAACATTTTGCCTCTCAAGGCTATTTAAATTCAATGAGGCTACATTGAGAAGTCAATAATTAACCTAAAGAATGAATGATGGGATTCAGGCAGTGATACTCAGATAGTAAAGTTATTTGGGAGCAGTCTTCTAGGTGCTCCTCAAATCATATTACCCAACTAAGTAAGTTGTGACTTTAGCAGGGGCTAGCTATTAAGGAGAAAATGTTTTCCCAAACAGTATTTGGGGGAATTCTCCACACTTCCAGCTCACCTGGACAGCTGTACTGTTGCCTCACCTTCACTGTCCCCAAGCATCTCTTTCAAGGCTTCAGCATTGGCTATGAAAGAGGAGTGACAAGAGCATATCATGGATGTAAGAATGGAGCAGGAGGTTGAAGAGCAGATGCCAATGAGCACTTACCTTCATTTTGGATGATGCATTGGACAATCCTTTCCACTGTGTCCTCATTCACATCCTCATCATCCGCTGTGGAGGTGAGGAAAGGTGTCAACTTCAGGGAAAGGGCAACTAGGGCCAACACAAAGTTACTGACCTTCGGATTGTTCATTTGATTTTTCGTGACTACCTTATTTAGCTCCCTAGCAGCTCTTGTGATTCAAGATCAGTGACCACATCCCTTCATTTTATAAGTGTGGAAATTGAGTCACAGAGGGATAATGTGGGGGGGATTACCAAAGTTTGACAAGGATACATTCTCTTCCTCCTCCCCCCTCTCCACTTTCCCAGGGGTTCTGTTTCTGCCTACTCTATAATTTCAGGAGTAATGAACCAGCAGGTTTCTGAAATAATTCACCAGGGCCTCAGAGTCACTGTGATTTTTGCCTTATAGTTAGTTACTGAACTCACTGCACTCTATCCCCAAAACTAAACTGCAAAAACTGTCCCTGACTTAGGTTCCTGAAATACGAGCTATGAGCTATGGGTAGCAGGCGAGCAAAAGGGGATGTGAGTTCCTCTGCTGCTAGGCAGCGCTGGGGGAGTCATATTCCCACCAGGGATATGAGAGAGGAAGAAGAGACCTGGATAAAGTGTGCTGAGTATTAGCGAAGTGTGCAGGTGTGTGTGGCATATGCAAGTGTGTGAAGGAAGGACATACAAGGAAGAAAATTAAGGAGGCTCCTTCCTGGTGATGGGGTTCCCCCTCTTTTTCCACACTCACGTGGCTGGAGCTGGGCATCCTCTGGCTCTGAGCCTCTTGACGTCCGACAGCGATAACCCTTCTTCTTGAGTACATGGCAGATCATGAACCCCACGAGGCCCATGAGAAAGAAGACCAGCACGAGAAGGAACAGCATGTATAGCCCATGTTGGGGCTCTGGTCCCGGTTGCAATTCCGACATACGGCCCTGGGGGGCGGGCCGATCCGGGGTCAGGGCCCCAAAGAGGGATGCGAGTCAGGGGGAGGGCAGTGAATTCCATGTTTGGACCCCTTCAGGGAGTCCTCCCAGGATCCTCCAGAAGCCATTCCTCCAGTAAATCTAGAACCCTTTCCCCCCCTCTCAGCCCAGGCGCTGTCCAGGGAATGGGTGCTAGTCTGCCAGGCCCCGGGGCACCTGGTCAATAGGGGTTGCAAGTTGTTTTCCATACTCCTAATCCAACCTCCATCCTTCTTCCTTTTCATATTTCTCGCTGCATACACAAACCCCATTCTCTCCCCATCCCCATTCCTCCCAAGGACACTGTAGCTGAAGACTGGACGGAGCTCTATGATGCGGTCCTGGGCATAGTCTGAGTCAGCGCTGGCCCCTCGCTTCCTCCGCAGCCCCAGGCCAGGTCCCCTGAAACGCTCCTTTCTTTCAGTACCCTCAGTTTGTCCCACCGCTCTCCAACTCCTGGCTCCTAGAGACATCCTGGACTCCCCTCCCTCTCCAGACTGCCCCCTCCCCCAATTCCCCTGGCCCGGCTGACCTTGTGGCCTCTGCAAGGCCCCTGGGGATGCGGTGTGTATGTTCGGCTTTGGCTCCGGCAGTGTCCTAGTACCTCTCAGCCTGCCCTGGGAGCCCTTCCCGAGAGCATCCTTCTCCCCCCTTCTCCCCACCCCCCAGGCCACCTCACCCGCTCCAGCTCCGGCTCCGGGCTGCGGCTGCTGGTGCCGCGGCGGGTTGGGAGTTGGGGGGGGGGGATTTGAGGTGGGGATTTGAGGTGGGGGTACAGGAAGGCGATGGATAGGGAAGGAGGGAAAGGGGAAACTGGGTTGGGGTGCAGGCGTCCTCTGGACTTTCAGGGCTGGGGATGGGAAGGGGATGGGGGTGCGGATGGGGGGCCTCTACTGCAGCCACCTCCTAGTCCCGGCTGCTCTCTCTCCGGCTGTGCTCCCTGCGCGGGCACGGGGATAAAGGGGGCGGAGCGGCAGGTGTGTGGGACGGAGTGCGTGCGTGACACCACAGAGTCTGACACGGCTGGGTCTCCGTGTCAATGTGTCCCACTCGGGGCGTGGGTCTCTCACGCACCCTGGCCAGCACTGGGCGATATGCCCCCTTGTTCTGGTTGCAACTCGGGAATCCGCGAACCCCAGCAGGTCAGAAGATGTCAGTTTCCTTTCTGGCAGGGTGCCGCCAGCTTAGGACAGCCTCTCATCTCCAGCGCCCAGGTAGCAGCGCGTCGGCGGGACTTGAGACCCCTACCTCTCAGGGTGTATAGAAGGGAGGGGGCATGGGGTGCCCATGGACCGGATGATTAATAAGCGTTCGTGGAATTAAAGGATCTTGGGGAATGGGAATCTCTGAGATGCTCAGCTTCTCCCGGACCGATTGTGCATTTCAAGTTCCGCGGATACCCCAGGAACACCCTCCCTCCGGGGCTCAGCCCCACCCTCCCCGCGGAGCTCAGTAACCCCAGCTGAGCGGTAGCGAGCTTTGAGGGGGCGGAGCCACCGAAGCCAGGGGGCGTGGCATCTCTGGCGAGGGGCGGGGCCTCGACCTCCCCCTCCCTTGCGGCTCGGAGCCCGCGGCGACCTCGGATTCCGCAAGGGGCGTGGTGTCGCGCTATGACGCAGAACGCACGGTCCTGGAGGCGGGGCTGGAGGGCGGAGGCGCGGGGCCTGGTCCCCCGGTACCATGGCCAAGACGGTGGCCTATTTCTATGACCCGGATGTGGGGAACTTCCACTACGGTGAGAGTGGGGAGGAGAACCTCAGGCAGTGGGGGGGTAGGCTGGGGGGTGGGGGGGTGGGGGGCACGGGCGCCAGCAGTCTCCCTTTCCCCAGTTCCCCCCCCCAATAACCCGGACCAAGTGGAGGATTGGGAGGTGGGGGTGGGGTGGAGCGGGTTCCCTAGGACCCTGGGGAGGGTGCATTCTGGGCCCCTTGGGGTGGTGGGTCAGCGACTCATTTTGACCACTCATTCCTCCAGGGGCGGGTCACCCCATGAAACCCCATCGTCTGGCGCTTACCCACAGCCTGGTGTTGCACTATGGGCTCTACAAGAAGATGATTGTGAGTGTTTCTCTTCTCTCCTCTTTGGCACCCAATGCTTGGGGAAGGGGTGCAGTGCGGGAGGGGATGGAGGCAGCTTTGTATGCACTTGCTCTTGGGGTGCAGGTTTAGAGGAAATGGAGACAAGGACACCCCTTCATCACCCTAGTCATAGATTAATAGGGATTAGAAGGGTTGTTAATAATAAGGATTAGAAAGGATGTTAGAGATCTCTCTAGAGAACTCCCTTCATTTTATAGATGGGAAACTGAGGCCAAGAGAGGGGAAATGACTTGCCGAAGGTTAAACAGGTAACCTATGTAGAAAGCCTGTGATTTGAATCAAGGTCCTCTGACTCCAAATCCAACATTTTTTTTAACAATATCATACTACCTCTCATGCTGTCCCACAATATACTTTTCTTGCCACAACAAGATGCTAGAACCTTAGTACCCCAATGGAATGAGAGGGTACTTTGGGTATACTCCTGTACAAGAGTTAGTTCAGCCCTTCAATCTTTCTGTTTTGGTTTGTATGGTCTGAGGAGGACTCAGTTGAGGTAAGGGGCTTGAGTTGGCTACTCATATCTTCTCTACTTCCCCCTCCAAAAAAAAGTACACCCAAAAATCTACCAACAACACACACAGAACCTTGTCTCTATGGCTATACTCTTGGCCAAGGCACATGTCTTTGACATGGTTGGGACTTGGAAGATGAGAATTGGAAACATTCAGACTCAGAATGGTATGCATATGCATGATGTTGATTGTCACTTTTAGGGTTATATTAAATATAAAATCCCTGGAGGAGTTTGTGAAGAGTAGGGTTACTAAAATGGATTGGCTTCCCTCTGGAGTCTCTTGATATATAAATACTGAGTTCATTTTCCCACCATTTGCAGAGCCCTGTACTTTGATATAAAGGAGATAGCATTTACCTTTAGGGAATGTTCTAACTATTGGAAAATACATAATCTCTAATTTCAGAAAGCTTCCAATTAATTTGGGGAATCATAACTAAGAGAACAACAATAAGGCATTATATTTGTATATTGATTTGTGCTTTTCAAAATAGTTTCATATACAATGTCACATTTGAATCTAGAAGGAAACAGTAGGGTGGGGGAGGGAAGAGAGGTCAGCAGACATCTGGACTATGGAGAGAAGGACAGAAAGGAGTGGGGGAGGGAGGAAAGGGTGATATGGGGAACATGGGAATGTGGGGGGGGATAAATGCAACAAAAATGACTAACTCAGCATCTTTGCTTTAGCCTCAAATTGGTCTTTTTTTTCATAGGGAGACCTTTATGCAAGAGGGAGTGTACCTATATATGGGTATTTGGGTGGGGAGTACTTTGGAAGCTCTGAGGTTGGGCTGAAACAGTCAAAGCCCCCTAATTTGGAACTAATCCTGCCCAAGTTCATCATGTTTTCTTTATTCCAAGGTCTTCAAGCCATACCAAGCCTCTCAACATGATATGTGCCGTTTCCACTCAGAGGATTATATTGATTTCCTGCAGCGGGTCAGCCCCACCAACATGCAGGGCTTTACTAAAAGTCTCAATGCCTTCAATGTAGGGGATGATTGGTGAGGGAAGGTCAAGGGACCTTTGATGTGTATCAGTGTTGGTCACTGGGGTGGGGAATTAATTGTAGGGAAGAGGGAGGGAGAGGGGCTGTGGGGAGTTTTTATAAAGTACTATGTCAAATGTAACTGGGGACACACAGAAGTACAGCTCTGACCTTGAAGAATTTATATTCAAGTTGGGGAGACCTAACATACACGGTAAATAGTAAAAACTTCCAAATATTTTATCTGGGCCTTCTTCCCAGTCTTTTTTTTTTTAACTGACTCTCCAGCTTTGTCTTCAGCTACTCCCCTACATGAACCCTTGATTGATTTTCTTTTTTTCCCCAAAATGCCATGCAAATTCTTTGTCTCCAATTTTGCCCACATCTTTTCACCTATTCAAATTTTACCAGTTGTTTAGCTCAAGTTCCAGGTCCTCCATGAAGCCTTCCCTGGTGGCTGAAGCCTCATTATTTCTCCTTCCTCTTAATTTCTATAGCACGTTTGTCTATACCATTCACTTGACACTAATTGTATGCTACATTCTGATATCTCTTAAATTGTTCTTCATTTTTCTTTATGTGTGTCTTTTCCCACAGTGCCTAGAATAGTGTTGGGCAAATAGGCAAGCAGGAAATAAATAAATGAACATTCTTTGTGTGTATACATATATATTTATACATATATGTACTACTTTTTTTTTTTAAAGACAAATGAATAATGTGGGAGGAAAAAGGAAGAAGGCCTAAAATGGATTAGGTGTATTGCTGGTGGTAGGATGTGTGTGTGTGTGTGTATGTGTGTGTGTGTGTGTGGTGGTGTTCAGTTTCTTGGGAAAGGAGCCAAGGCTCTCGGTCATGTCCTCTGTCTTACAGTCCTGTGTTCCCAGGCCTCTTCGAGTTCTGTTCCCGTTACACAGGTGCTTCCCTGCAGGGCGCAACACAATTGAACAACAAGGTAAACATATCACTGTTACCCCCATTCATCTACTGCTGTGGTATCCACAGCCAGCATCCTCATGTCCCCTGTGCCTTAGGTTTGGGGAGGGCTGTGATTTGGATGTTTGTCCTTTAGATTTGTGATATTGCCATTAACTGGGCTGGAGGACTGCACCATGCTAAGAAATTTGAGGTGAGTATGGGGGTGATGGAGGGAACTAAGGGTGTTGTGGGCATGGGCTGCTGAGGATGGGGGCCAAAATATGGTGAGGGATGTAGGGGTGAGGTGCTTCTTCCCCCAAAGCCACTCTCCTCCTGCAGGCCTCAGGTTTCTGCTATGTCAATGACATTGTGATCGGCATCCTGGAGCTACTGAAGTAAGGAACTTACAGGGGAGGATGGGATGAGATAATGGGGAATGGGTTCTCTTTGTGGACTTTGAAGGAGTATGAGTCCTTGGACTAGACTTCTCAACCCCAACTCTACACTTGCTCTGACACCTAGTAATCCTAGTTTATTCCCTTCTGGTAGACAACTTTTACCTTGATCACATTTATTTCTCCATAAGTCCCAGTCCCCATTTCCTCTCCCCCCAACCCCCAGCCCCACCCTAGGGTAATAGGATATACTCTGTGTAGGAATGCCCTTGATAGGACAGCTTCAGCTAATCTGGGAACTGAGTTTAGGTTTCAGGTGATTAGGCTGTGTGGACATAAAGGGTTCTGTGTTTGGCAGCAATATGTGAATATGGGATTGGGGGAGAGATTCCCTCTTGGCCTATTTATGTCTGGCTCAAACTCTTTGTTTTCCTTTGCCCCAGGTATCACCCCCGTGTATTGTACATTGACATTGACATCCACCATGGGGATGGTGTACAGGAAGCCTTTTATCTCACTGACCGAGTCATGACTGTCTCTTTCCATAAATATGGCAATTACTTCTTCCCTGGCACAGGTGGAGAGATTTGTCGGGGAAGAGTAGGGGGAAGGAGGGAAGGATGGGTTGAGTAAATGGTGGGCCAGGGATGAGTAGGTAGCTTTAGACAGGGACTAGAAGGGGTTGGACAGTTGTTGGGGGCACAGAGTCTATGTGTGAAGTAAAAAAATCCAGATTTGTAGTATTTCCCCAGCAAGTTACCCCCAGCCATCTTTCCCTGCAGGTGATATGTATGAAGTTGGAGCAGAAAGCGGACGCTACTACTGTCTCAATGTGCCCCTGCGGGATGGCATCGATGACCAGAGTAAAGGACTACCTATTTGTCGAATCTCATATTTTTTTTTCTTTGCTGTGTCCCGGCTGTTTTGTTGTGCCCTATGTTGCCCCATATCTGAGTTGCTAGTTTCCTCAACCCCCTTTTCCCTGTGTCTTGAGTCCAGTCCTTTTCCTTGGGGTACTAGTTGTCTACCTCTTACCACTCCAGGTTACAAGCACCTCTTCCAGCCTGTCATCAACCAAGTGGTGGATTTTTACCAACCAACGTGCATTGTGCTACAGGTAGCAAGCAGTCTGAACCTCCATTGTGTGTGTGTGTGTGTGTGTGTGTGTGTGTGTGTGTGTGTCTGTCTGTCTGGAGGTGGGGGGGGACAAGTTAAGAGTTGGTGGGGAGGGTTAGCCCTGGCCTCTGTGGAATATGGTAGGGAGGGTGACAGTTCTCAATTTGGGGGAGAAATATAGGGTAGATGGTCACTTATGTTGTCACAGTCAGTTATCTCAAGACAGCTGCTTGGTATTTTGCTCTTTGCAGTGTGGAGCTGATTCCCTGGGTTGTGATCGGCTGGGCTGCTTCAACCTTAGCATCCGAGGTCATGGGTAAGACTCTTCTTTCCATACCCTCCTGGACACTTTTCAGAAACATCTTGGGGATGTACCCTAAGTTTATATACTTGTAGGTATAGGGGCAGGGTCCTGGCCTTTTCTTGCGGAGACAAAAGAATTAAGAAGGGGATATACACAGAACTCATGGATCTGTGATCTCATTAATGTACATATATAGTGATACAAATTAGAACTCATCTATACCTTCCCGATGTGTGGGATTCTTCTTCATGTACTCCCATAAATTCCTTACAGGGAGTCTATCCAATAGTGTTGGGGACCTTCCTCAAATTCTTCCATTGCCTGGTGGCCAGTGGTCTATTAATTATCCTTCACTCTTCTTATGTGACTATGGGATATGAGAAGAAAATGTCACATTGGATTCTTGGTCTGATTGGAAGTGGTGGGAGCCCTTGGATGTTGGGAGATCTAAGGTAAAAGTGACTAGGAAGATGGAAAAGGGATAGATAGTTCAGCTGCTGACATTTCCTGGTCCTCAACAGGGAGTGTGTGGAATATGTCAAGAGCTTTAACATCCCATTGCTGGTACTGGGTGGTGGTGGCTATACTGTTCGAAATGTTGCCCGATGCTGGTGAGTTCAGTCTCTCATCTATCTCTCCTCTCTCCTATAAGTATTATGGGTTCATTGAGGGTTGTCTAGGTGGGCACTAGAGCCTTCACATTCAGTTCGTTCCTTCCCCTTGTTTCAGGACATATGAGACATCACTGTTGGTAGAAGAAGCTATCAGTGAGGAGCTACCATATAGTGGTGAGACACTTCTCTTACTCCCCCACCCTATCTTTTACAAATCTATTTCCTTGGGGGGCCCTAGGATGGCCTGGGATGGAGTTGGAAGAATAATTTGATATCTTTCAGTAGGCAGAGTTGAGTTCTCTAGTGTTGTTACTCTTTTTTTCTGATGCTGAATCACTGAATTGTAGAGGAGGCCGAAGTCCTGGCCCTTCTTCCTGTAGAGTCTAAGTTAGATAGAGGTAAGACCCAGGAACCCTGATTCCCAGCCAGTGCTGAACTTATCTCACTCCTTGCCCTGGGGCTCTGATCTCTTTTTCTTCCTCTCCCCAAAGAATATTTTGAGTACTTTGCCCCAGACTTCACATTGCATCCAGATGTCAGCACACGAATTGAAAACCAGAATTCACGCCAGGTCAGTGGCCCAGCAAAATGGGAATGGCTGGTGGAGGGGTGGGTGGTGAGAGTGGGGAGAGGGAGGTAAGGGTATAGAGTTGGGGTATGGGGGACTTACTGCCCAATTGGCTTGATTGGGGAGTGATTGTTGGGGGTGGGCACAGAGTCAGAAGGCTTTGGCTAGGATTTTCAGGCCAAGGAACTGAGGGAAACAAACTAGGGAAGAAAGTTCCAGGCATAATGGAACCCAAGTTGCTATGGTAGAAATCAGGACAGTCAAAGGCTGTAATGTTAGTTGTGTAGAGAGAGCTCCCAACTGGTCTGTCCCTGACTGGAAAACACTTTTGTGGAATTAGTGCTTCTAAGTGAGACTTGGGACAGTGATGCTTTGGGGATGGATGAGAAATAGCTTGTGTCCCCTTGTGCCTTCCTTGTTGTTCTGGCTAGTACCTCGACCAGATCCGGCAGACGATCTTTGAGAATCTCAAAATGTTGAATCATGCACCCAGTGTCCAGATCCATGATGTACCATCTGATCTGCTGACCTATGACCGAACTGATGAAGCTGATGCTGAAGAAAGGGGCCCTGAGGAAAACTATACCAGGTATTGGATGAGGAGAGAATAGCCATTGAGGGAGCCTTAAGAAAGACAACAGGAGGCTGTTTTGCTGAGGACTGGAAAACAACTATAGCGGGGTGGCTTTTTATTTTTCCTTTCTCATATTCTTGGGACTAAGGAAGGGGAGAAAAGAATACTTGGAAAACCATGACATGTATATTTTGTGGGGAGTGCAAAAGGGTACATACAACAGACTTGGTGGAAGGGCTCCAAGGAGAATGTTGCTGATGAAAAGCCAGAAAGTGGTTTGAGACATTGAGAGAAGCTGGGAATCTAGTCACTGGAGCCTGCTGCTACCACTTATTGTTTGCTCCCTGTCCCTTTCCCTTTTTCCTCCACTTTCTCTCCCCTGGCTAGGTGTTTAACTAATGCTTATTGATTAATTGATAGCACTGATCTGTCTCCCAACCTCCCAGGCCAGAGGCTCCCAATGAGTTCTATGATGGAGACCATGACAACGATAAGGAAAGTGATGTAGAGATTTGAAGCTTGGAGAGACTCTGCTCCACAGAGAGTTACCTGCCACTTCAGGGCTGGGCAGGTGGCAAGAAGAGTGACCTTTCCTTGTGTGACTTTCTCTGTCCCTGAGCTTTGCCCTCTACTCTGTGGGAAAGAGTCCAAAGACTGCTGCTGGTCCCAGGACCTTCTTAACCCTTACTCCAGTTTCCTTCTCCCCAAGCCAGAGGTGGTAATTTTTGGATAGGTGGATGGGGGACAGTTCTAGCACTAACTTGGGGCTAGAAGGTCAGCTTCTGTAGACAGGTCAGAGAGGTCACATGTCCCTGGTGGCCAGTCTCTTAGCTTGCCCCCTGTTCTCAGACTCCTGTCTCCTCTTGACAAAGGTATTTTCAGGATGGAGGGGTGGTTGATATTGAAGGTACCTTTTTATTCCCAGCCATACTGTGCCCTGTCTAATGTACACTTTAATTTGGGAGTGGAAAGGGACCAGGGGAGGGTTGTCATTTGTTTCCTACCTTATGGGTCCCTTTTGATTGGGAAAAGAAGGAGTGGAGAGGGGTTTCATGTCCTGCCTTTTCGTGTTTTATGTCCATTTTACCATTGTTTTTATCCAATAAATTGAGTCAGTATTTTTCTTATCTACTGCCTTCTTCCTATGAATTTGATATTTCCTTCAGGTGTACCTTATTGGGAATATGGGGGTGGGAGGGGAGTTGAAGGTAGATTTCACTGTATCCAGGGGTGATAGATCTGGTGTTTGCTTTCTACTTCTTTTCATGGAATCCTTGGGCTTTTCCCAGGACTGCCATACATTATTAGCTCAACAGAGTGGGCCTGGGCTGTCTGTGAACTTGGACTCTGAGGCTAACACCAGTGGTGGGGTCGGGGTTTCTGAGGTTGAGTTTGTGACACAAGGCCCGGAGCCCAGCCACAGCTCTATGGATGGGTTTGCCTACCGCCCGGCCAGGCTGGGGAAGCACCATCCATCCCCTGTTCCAAAGGCCTCCCTCTGCTGGGAAAAGGCTGATTTCCCTTGTACCCCGTGACGTCTAAGCCCAGCCGCCGCGCCAGTACGGGGACTTGGAGAACCAAAAAGTTTGTGGTTCTGTCGGAGGCCCGGCAGATGGCGCTGTTCCTGGTTCTAAACTCCTCTACTTCCTCCCCACTAAATTGGGCTTAGTGGTTGAGCCCATCGGGCAGGTAAAGCGTTGAAACGGTCGTCACCCCCCAGGTTCAACGCACAGTTGGTAGGCACCTCACGGAAGTGTGGCAGGCTCCGAGCTCTGGACCGTCTCTACTAGATATTCATGAGGCGCGCGCAACTCGGCATGCTAATGAGCTCGGGGAAGGCGGGGGACTGAGGCGCTGGGCGGCGGCGCGCGGGCGGCGAGGAGGCAGCGAGCGGGCGGGCGGTGCGCGCCGAGCGGAGCGGAGGGAGCAGGCTTCGGGGGGCGGCGTGCTAGCCGCAGACATGGAGCCACCCGGAGGGGGCCTGGGGCCGGGCCGTGGGACCCGGGACAAGAAGAAGGGTCGGAGCCCGGAGGAGCCGCCCGCGGCCGGCGACGGCGGCAAATCCAAGAAATTCGTGAGTGTCCCACCCACCCACCCATCGCTTCAACCCGGGTCCCGGCACTGCCCGCCTCGGGCCAACGGCCGGGGAGCCACCCCCTCCGCCTGCCAGCCTGCCCTTCCTGCTGCCCACCCTCGCCACCGTCCCTCCCCGCCCCGGCTTCCCCCAGCCCTGACTGCCTTTTTATCCCCTCTACTCTCTAGATCTGACTCGGTCCTGGCGGCCCTTCTTGTCCCCCCAAACCTCCCCCTATGCACACCTGGCCCCTCCTAACCCCCTTCGCCCCTCTCTCTCGCGGACTTGATCCCCCTCAGCCACCTCCTCCCTCCTCCCCCCGCTCCGACCAGGCTCCCCCCAATCCCTCCTCCACCCTGCAGCCACCTTTATCCCTATCTCTCCGGACAAACCCATCAGACCTGGTTTCCCCTCTTATCTCGCCTCCTAAACCTGGCCCTCCTCCGCCACCTGGCCTCCCAGGTACGTTTCCCTCCTGCCCTCCCACTCCAGAGCCGGATCCTTTCAGCCCCTTCTCAACACCCACCCTCACCTGGCTACTCTTAATTACTTCTATCCACGTTCCTCCCTCCCCCGGAACCTGGCCCCCTTGAGTTACTGCATGCATGGTAATGCTAGTCCTTTTTCATCAGCCTTGTAACCTTCTCTTCCCCGCCTTGGGATAGCCACCTTCCCAGCTCCTGTGCGTCTTCCATTGCTGCTGTTGCTGTCGCTGTTTTTCCCCTAATGTTCCGCATAACCTTCTTTTCAGATCTTTTATCCCGTAACCTTTACTGAACTAATTCCCTTTTGCTTACCTTTTAATTCCTACCGTTTCCTACCAGTCACTCCCCAGCTTCCTTTTTTCTTTTTCTTTCTGTTAACATAGATGTTTCTTCTTCCTTGGCCCAACCCCCTTTCTCCAGGTACTTTCCTGGGTTCATTTTCTAAGCCTCTCATGGCATTCTCTTGTTCCTCCCCCCCCCCCATTTCCTGATCTATGCTTTAGCCTTTTAACTTGTTAACTTTCCATCCAATAAAATCTCTTAGGCTCTCAGTTTAGTGTCATCTGATAATGGCTCCCTCTCAGGAATGTTACCTGACATGTGACCTCTTAGAAATTTGTCCTTGCATTTAAAGAAATAAACTCCTGCCCAATTACACATGTCCCTCAGTCATGTTATTACTCTATCTTCCAATATTTCTTCCCTCTTAGAGTTTTCCTTTGTCCTATTATTACTTCCTTGGGGGTAAACTCTTTGGCCTCTTGCCCTAAAGTAATAGTAACTTTTTCTCTCCCTCTACAAGTGGAAAGGAAAATAAAATTGCAAGTCCAAGAAATTTGTGAATAATGTAATTGTTTTATATATTTTCTATTATAACCATTATTTCAACCTCTCTTCTACCTCCTTATCCTCTTCAGTGCTGTTGACAGCCTTACTCTTGTCTGTGTTGAGGAGTATAGTTTTCTTTCTGTGAGAACTACTTCAACCCCAGTCTGAAGAAAAAGTGATATCCCTGTAACCCCTTACTTAGCATGTTCTATTATGATGTCCATACCTTGCCCCCATACTAAATCCTCCATTCCAACCTCTTTCTCCTGGGGCAAGGGTGGGGAACCTGCAGTCTCCAGGCCACAAGTGGCCTTCTGGGTCCTCAGGTGCAGCCGTTTGACTGAATCCAAACTTCACAGAACAAATCCCCTTAATAAAAAGCTCAGTCAAAATGCTACACCCAAGGACCTAGAAGGCCACATGTGGCCTGGAGGCTGCAGGTTCCCCATCCCTGTTCTGGGGGATATTTATTCTCTTAACAATTTGAAAAATATGGAAATGTTTTCCATAGCTCCTTAAAGAGATCGAGTTGAGTACAACACCTTAATAACTCATTGTTAGTTGTAACCATGTATTCCCTTTTTCAGCTAATCCCCTTACAATCTTTCCTTCTCATTGAATAAATTGCTTGTAACTTTATTTTTCCTTCTCCTCTCTCCCTGACTTGCCCCAAACAATCCAAGTCATTTTCTCATAAACTTGGCAAGAAAGCTGATAAAACAATGAATTGGAAGGAAATACTACTTTCTAACCAAAGGTGTTGAGAAATGCAGTACTATACAGGAATTACTTGTACTGGGGCAGCTGGCGTAATGGAAAGAGGAATAGATTTGGAGTGGCTGTGTTTGAGTGTTGACTCGGCTATTAAGTGTGACTATAGGCAAGTCACCCAACCTCCCTTTGCCTCACTTACCTCATCTGTAAAATAGGACAGTAATATGGCTACCACTTAAGTGACATAGTTGTTAAGAGGAAAGCATTTGTGTAAAATGGTGGTGGTAGTTACAGAGGGGATTAAAGTAGGGATCCTTCTCTTTCTGCCTATGTATGTATGATTAAACCAGATGCCCCTAGGCGTGTTAACAATTGATCTATATAATTAGCCTCGTTATTCCAGGCCACTAATTGCCTATTTTTATGCTGGCTATTATTTCTTCACCCAGAGCATGGGGCTTATAGTTCAAGAAAATTTCTTACTGGCTCAAAAAATATTCTGTGTTTCGTACTGCAGTGTCATCTGAGTTTCTTTAGGTTAGGTGCTGAACCTCTCATAGACTGGGTTAAACTTTCCTTCCCAGTCTAAAGTTCCTGGGTCCCTAATTTGGAATTTCCTTCAGTTTCTTTAATCAAACTCAAGGTAGGGAATGTTACTTTGCATTGAGTTTGTCCTCCCTCTCATGAATTCCAACTAGACCTGCTGATTTACAGTCTTAGCTTCTTTTCTACACTTTCCAGGTCATCCTTAGGAATTTTTTTGTGTCTTTGATTTGCCTAGCTCTGGTATGTTTCACAGATTTTTGGAATCTATTGAATGTATGTTGCTTGAGGCTGAGATACTTCTAGCACTCTCTGCTCGGTAGACCACTGTACCTTCAAATATATGCTGAGTGTATTTAAGTCTGAGTTGTTTGTATTAGCTTTAGAGAGGGTGGAGTTTAAGTTCCTTATTTCTTCTAAAGGTACTGTTCTTAACCCTTAGCTTGCTGAAATGTGTTATCTGGTAGTGTAAGTAGTGAGGAGAATTGTATTTTTTTCCTTCAGAAAGAATTATTTAAATATCCCTTTACTGGTAAATATAAGCTTTGAACATTCTAGCCCTCCTCTGTTGTTGACTTTGGGGAAAAAAATGTGAGTCGTTAAAGGCTAGGAGTGGCACCAGATTTCTGTGTGAGAAAGTATGACAACAGTGGTGTATTCTGGGGCTGATATCTTGTTATTATTTAAAGTGAGACTTTCTGGTTAGAGGTGGTGTCTAAACTCAAAGTTATTTATCTCCTGATGTGCTTTTCTAAAGTTTCTGTTCTTTGGAACTACAGCATGAGCCTCTTTAAGGAACCCTGCACAGTAGAGATTAAGTACCTCAGATAACTATTTATATCTGGTTCTGAGAATGTCACTAATCCCTTTAGGAGTTTGATACCTTTTAGTGCTTTAAGGAAGGTTCTGACCACAAGTCTTAGGAGGGCTATGGATTAGAAGAAAAGGCTTTGAGGAAAGGAGTCAAATTTAGGTACGGGGAGTGGGGGAGAGGAAGTAGACCCACAGAGGCTTAAAGCAAATGATCAAGCAAGGTATAGGTAAACTCTGGCAATCTGTTTTGTGCTTCTGAGGTGCCTTGGATGTGGAGAAGAGATGGGGCCTAGCTTTAAAAGGCTATTGTGTCTTATGTATATAATTTCTAACATATATATTGTCATGAGCTGCTAGAAGAAGGCTGCTTTATGCTCTCCCTCTTGTACTTAATGAGTCTGACTTCATAAGGCCTCGTGGACACTCCCCCCCCCCCCCCGTTTCTTTTTTACCATCAGTTGAAAAAGCTTTAGCATGTAGGTGAATAATAGAAGTGTCATTCAGCAGAATTTGGTGTAGTCTCCCCTATTGTAGTAGTGGTAAATGGTCCCAGTCTAGCATGATTGCTTGTAGCTATTCCTAAAATATAATTGTAAGAGAAATATCATGTCTGTAATACTTTTTAGTCCTCACATTTAATGGTAGTCACATCTAATCAAAAAGAGGAAAAA